AGATTCCACTAGACTGTCATTTTATGACAAGCTGTCGGGCTTACCCAGTCTTCTTCCCGCTCGGTCACTGCGAATAGATTTGTGGCTGGCATTCATAAAGCACAGAGCCAAGGCGGCCCTATTCATGGTCGGACTATGTATCTTTGCTTTGATCAACATCTTAGCGGCATCCACGGGGTCTCTATATGCTCCTGATTTCTCCAACACACCTGGAACACAATATTTTGATTTGGCAAACTATAAAGGTTCTGCTGATGGATGGCAACGAGATGAAAGAGTGCTTTTTTGTGTTCCTTTGAGAGATGCCGCAGCACACTTACCAATGTTCTTCAACCATATGAAGAACCTTAAATACGACCATAACCTCATCGACCTAGCTTTTTTGGTGAGTGATTCCAAAGATAACACCATGGGTGAATTGGAGAAACATTTGCTTGAGATCCAACGCGATCCTGATGAGAAGATGAGGTTTGGAGAAATTGAGATTTTTGAAAAGGACTTCGGCCAGATCATTGGCCAGTCTTTCAGTGATAGACATGGCTTTGCCGCCCAAGGACCACGGAGAAAGCTTATGGCCCGTGCCAGAAACTGGCTTCTATCAGTGGCATTGAAGCCGTATCATTCGCATGTTTACTGGAGAGATGCTGACGTAGAGACGGTGCCACCCACAATATTGGAGGATTTGATGCATCATGACAAGGATGTGATTGTGCCAAATGTGTGGAGACCATTACCTGACTGGTTAGGCAACCAGCAGCCTTACGATCTTAACTCATGGCAAGAGTCCGAAGGAGGTCTTCAGCTTGCGGACACACTAGATGAAGATGCATGCATTGTGGAAGGGTACCCAGAATATCAGACATGGAGACCTCATTTGGCTTACTTGAGAGATCCATATGGAGACCCCGAGGTGGAGATGGAGCTTGACGGTATCGGAGGTGTGTCCATCCTTACGAAAGCCAAGGTTTTCCGTCGTGGTGCCCACTTCCCAGCTTTCTCATTTGAAAAGCACGCTGAAACAGAAGCATTTGGCAAATTGAGCAAAAGAATGGGATTCTCGGTTGTCGGGTTACCCCACTACGTGATTTGGCATATATACGAGCCTTCGCTGGACGACTTGAAACACATGGAATGGATGGCTCTAGAGGAGAAGAGGCAGCAGGAGCAAGCTAAGATTCAGAAGGTCTACGACAAGGTCTGGGGCGAAGGGTTCCTGGACATGCAGCTGGACTGGGAGAAGGAGAAGAACGATATTCTCAAGAACACTGACGTGAACCGCAAGATCCACGTTGACTGGTCGGGCGTGGATGACTTGTTTATCGAAAAGGGCGACGATAAGCAGCTTGCCGACTTCCACCCCTAAGCCCGAGCATAAGCAGCGCCTTGAGGCAGGCCTCGCGACATTAGACAAGGGAGCTCAGCTGATCTAGAAGCCTTAAGCCAACACGAAGGGACGCCGCACGGCAGTTTATTTAAATATTGCAACGTTATGCTGCTTGATCTAGATTGCTGATCTGTGCCTGCCGCAGTGGGCAACACCCAGTTTTGGGTGGAAATGTTGCAAGGTCTAGCGGGAACAGTGTGCACACAAGCCAGGGCTAGTGAGCAGTGCCCTGCCAGTATGGGATCGTGGGAGCGACAAAAGCCTTCTCGATTAGGAATTATCTCAAAAAAGGCCCTCGATCCTCCGGCTCACCTGAACCATCAACTTGCACCACACTCAACAACACACCCACCCCATTCTTTCCTTTACAAAGCAAGTACATACATTAGCACAATAGGCATGCCCGACTCGACATACCCAGACACTCAAGTCTGCAAAAAATGTAGCCTCTACATATCTGAGGGACACGCGTACGAGTTGGGTGACGACCGTTGGCACATACATTGCTTCAAATGTTCCAAGTGTGATAATTCTTTGGGCTGCAACTCCAACTTCCTCATATTGGGCGACGGCAACTTGATCTGTCTGTCTTGCTCCTACAACTGCAAACAATGTGGGAAGAAAATCGATGATTTGGCCATATTAACCGGAGATCAGGCCTACTGTTCTTCATGCTTCAAATGTCGAGTCTGCAAGCTGAAGATTGAGGACTTGCGTTATGCCCGGACGTCCAAGGGTCTCTTTTGCATGTCGTGTCATGAGAAATTGATTGCCAAAAAGCGAAAGTACGACATGAAGCGGAAGCAAATGGCCCACTTGGAGCTGCTGCTGAAACCACATCCGGGACTGCCAAGCAGTGCCGATAGTCCGCTGCTCTCAACTAGTCATGGGAACTTTCTGGACATTTACCTCAACTACCATAATTCCTCGCTGGCGTCGGTATTCAAGGATAAAGCACTTCCCAACCCCAATGCACCCAGGTCGACACCGCAAAGACAAACTGACCAAGCTAGCAAAGATGGAATCGAGGAAGTGAATGATTCAGATGATGAGCTCAATATTCGGAGAGCGGCCAGGAACCCTGACCTGGGGAAGACACACTCCCAAGACAACATCCTCGAGCTCATTGAATCTTTCAGTGGACCAAACACACCATTGACGGAGGACACCGAATTACACAAAGCACCCCCCGAAACCAAACAGCCCACAATTTCTACTCCGGTCGAATCGAACGAACTACGCGCTCTGCCTCAGAACGATACCCTGAACTACGCAACGCCTCGGACAGAAACTCTCCCTTCGTCGCAGCTCAGTCTTGGATCTGCGCCCCGTCTCGAGCCGGCGCTGAAGTCTCCACAGAAGGAGTTGTTATTGTTGTCGCCGTCTCAGTACAATGATAAAAAGTTCCATAATACCACCGGCCCTTCTCTGGAGAATCTAGGAGTGAATACCGAGGAAATCACGAGGCGCTCTGCTGCATCATCTCCGATGGCTAGAGTGAACAGACAAGCAAGGGTAGTGGAGACAAATGACGACATCGTCGCATCCGACATTGGCCTGCTGTACAATGCATTTGAAAGTTCCATTAACACTACTCCGAAAAAGTCGAACACAAACGTGCTGAATAAGGCAATGGCATCTCCGCCGCCTCGTTCTGCTTTACCGAATGTTCCTGCCACTCCTAAACGCCAAGGTCCCCCCACAGACCCGTTTGAGCCTCGTGGCTTGGGACTTGAGAATGTTGAGCTTCTGAAGCCAAATAGAGTCGTACAGCCTGCTACTCCAGCTGTTACGAACTTGGAGGAATCAATCGATGAAAAAGAGAACACAGACAGCACTCCACAATCATTTGGCAGGCGGAATACATTCAAGGGCCCCAAGAACTTTTTGAAACACAAGCGTTCCACCTCAAGTGGGCTGGGCAGTGGGAAGTTTGGAGGCCTTTTCAAAAGCAAGGACGATCAGTCCCCTGGTCACGCACGTCATGTATCCGATGGCTCTATAAACCATCACCTGGCCTTCACAACACCGCCGTTACCATTAAGCTCACCAATGAAGTACGGTGTATTTGGAAATGGTCACAACCGTTCGAGCTCCGACACTCACTACGTGGGAGCCGGAGACCTCCAGGGGGAGCGTCAAAGACTTGACACAGAGATGCGTCAGTTGAGAATGGAGATCAATCTGTTGGAAGGTCGGAAATCTACAGTTTTGTCCGAGATCGTCAAACTTGGATCGGAGAAAAATAAACTCAACGATTCGATCGCAGCCTTGAAGCACAAGGTGACGGAGGAGACAGAACATCATGAACTGATCTTACAAAATATACACGATCTCGTGGCCGAGAAGAGAAGATTAGTGGAGGAGAATCAGCAGTTGAAGGATGCAAACTCTCGATTGAAGCGTGAGAGCAAACGTCATGTGGAATCTCCGGAGGTAAACGCAACTCCACTGCATTCTACTGATCACAATGATGGTTCTTCATCATCCTTACCATATGAGGGACACACCGAAGATCCAGTTGAGACCCAAAAGGCCACAAGACTACGCTTCTGGAGGAAGCCAAAGGTTCATGTGGCTGCCACAAATTCTTCTGCAGCCCAAAGCCTGCCTCAAACTCAACAAGGTACTCCAATGCAGAAGAGCTCCTCATCAAATTCTCCTGCGCAACATTCCAATGGGAGTGAAACAAACCTGCATTATAAGTTGAGTCAGTCTTACTCTTCCAATGCTATACAACACCCAAGTCAGTTCCTCAATCCCAATAATAACGCCCAGCTGCAGCAAAATCAACAGCAGCCTCAGCAGCAAGAGTCGGGTCCTCGAAAGGCGTTCAACTCTTTTATGAGTAGATCACGTTCTACCAACATTCTTGACTCTTTCGTGGGGCAACCCCAGAACAAATCAGACGACAGTGGAGACGTTCCATTGCTCTCCAGCACGATCCAGAAGCGGGCGAAGTACGAGGACGAGGCTGTACCTTTGATAATTACTAAGTGTATCGAGGAAGTTGAGAAGAGAGGATTGGATATGGAGGGGATCTATCGAATCTCAGGAGGAAACTCTGCCATCACGGCCATCTTGAATGCATTCCTGTCACTTCCTGCGAACCCAAAGGGCGATAAAAAGCATATGAATAAGTTGGCAGAGGTTATGGAAGGTGACATTCACGCTGTTACAAGTGCATTAAAGCGATACTTGAGAAAGCTTCCCGAGCCTTTGATACCTTTTGCATGTTATGACGATTTTGTGAAGATTTGCAAAAATGATAATGATACACAGACGAGATGCGACGAACTTGTGGACAAGGTCGTGAACAAGTTACCAGCAGCCAACAGGCACACTTTATACTTACTCTCCAAGCACTTGGATTTGGTTGGTTATTACAACAATGTGAACCGAATGACCATGAAGAACCTTTCAGTGGTGCTTGCGCCCACAATAGCATGGGACCCCACAGGAGAAAGAGAGATGACAGATATGGGTCCTCGAAACGATACAACCGAGTTGCTTTTGCTGAACTTCTCGAAGGTATTTGCCAACTACGAGGTTTGATCGGAATTATCATGCACGCATTATAGAAGAACCATTGAGTCTTCTTGATATATACAATAAATTAATGGATGTCTTTGATATTTGGATTCGAGTACATCTCGTAGCGACGGTGACCAACTCGAAGTAGATGCTCTATGACTGAGAAAGACTTCTTCGGGAGCTTGCGGTGCTTACCAAATTCCTCACGAACATACAACCGCCAATGCTCCTGGTTTTCCACAGGCTTTGTCCTCACAGCCCTCATGCAAGATCTGTAAAGCTTGAGAACTTCTCTTTGTAGTCCGGATAGTCTGGCCATGATAGTTCAGGAGAAGCTGAAGGTTGCATTCTCGAGAAGAGTCGAGTACTTAAAGGTGTGATCTGGATCATGTGACATCCTTCCGCGTGAATCCGGGGTATCCACCTCTGAGTGAGACATCCAAAAGGTTATTCTTTAACCTCGTGGAATGAGACATATTGGAAAAAACAAAAAAAAAAATTGCTTCATTTTTGAGGGCTCAAAAATTTACTAGAGCGGAACGTTTTGCATTTGTTTTGAAGCAGTGGTAACGCTCTTGTCATCGGTGAGACAGATATAGTATATAAATCAAACTCATGCTTTGTAGCGATACTCGAGATCTTGCTGACTACAAAAAATCTCAAAACACAAAAAGAGATTCTTCGCTGTGGTTTGAGCCTTAAACCAAGGCCCGGCACTTTTTTGTCCATTCAAAGTCCCTCAATTGTAAACCTAGCTTCCATTGTAGTTGCGAAAGCATACGGACCTATAAAACAGCATTTATCATGTACGCAGGATCTACTCGGAGTTTGTTCCATACTCCGAGTAGTCCCAATGCGGAAGCTCCCGCCAGGACCCTACAAATTCAATCCCAACCTTAGTAAATTACCTATTTATGACCTATTACCCAACAATCTTACATGGTACCAGTGAAGTCAGTCTCACCTTCTCTGTGACAAGCGTTTTCAGCAACACCGCAGTTACACAGGCTCTTCAATCTCTTGCCACAAGCACAAGCAGATTCAGTAGGGGGGACGGCGTTCTCGACAGGGGCCTTCTCACAGTTGCAGTGAAGGGCAGCCTGCTTACCGCAGGAGCAAGTAGATCTCTTAGCGCAAACACATTCAGCAGCAGCACAAGCCATTTTGTTTAAAGATGATTTTTTGATTTATGAGTTGAATCGATGGCTTCGGGCCCGCTTTAAGTAGTTTTTTTTCTATTTGCAACCAACTCCGCAGGATCTGCATATAAGTAGGTGACCTGATTTCTGAGGGCCCTGATCACGTGTAGAAATTGAAGGCAGCCAATGAGCGCACAGAGAATAGTCAGCTTACAAAGACTTCTGCTGCACCTTGTCAGCCTGACAGATATGCTTATCATGCAGCTGTCTGATTAGGAATATGACAAACAACTGACTTGCGATTGGCTATTTATTTTACCTCATTGACACCAAAAATAAATACCAGCATGGCTCAGCAGGGCTAAAAGTGGAATGAAGCAGTAGAATGGAGTGGGGAGATGTCGCCGTTACGCTCTCTCCGGAATTTCGTATGATGTAATAGGAGCTACACTTGTTAGAAATTGACATGATGTTCATTACTTCTGGGCATTACTAAAGGCATTAGGTGGATTTTCTGAGTGTCCGAGTGAGAGCCTTCCATCGCTCACCGAGGATTGAGCCAAGCTCTGAGCTATTCACCGTACTATCGTTGGTTTGATCAATGCTTCTCAGCAAATTTTGTGTAACGTTGGCGGTGTTAATAGGTGCATTCTCTTCAGCCTCGTTTTCTTGTTGTTCTTTTCCCGGAGAAGGCTGTAAGACGTCCTCGAAGATTTGAGATACTGATTTTGACTTTTGTTCTCCGCTATCAACCTCCTCCTGGTCTGCAGCTTCCTGATCTGCAGCCTGCTGCTCACTTTGGCCCCTGATAGTGTTGTAGACAATGGAATGGCTCCTGCTATTGTTATTTGTATCATCTTTATAATTGGCATCAAGAAAAACGTTCTCAGATTCATCACCCTCGGTTCTTCTTCGTTTAGACAGACTTTCTTCTCTTTGTGCGGGAGAATGATTCACGGAAGCCCCTACCAGGATTGTTTGGAGTTGAGGAAGAGGCACCTGATCGCTGTCATCTCCTGGATTAATTGAAGTCATTCTTGGAACAGGTAAGACCTGATCCAGATCTTCATTTCCTCTCTGTAATGAGGGAATATTTTTCATAGGCGACCGACCGACTCCAGCGCCTGATCCGAAAGTTGGTGTTCGTGGGAACCTCTGACGACCTTTTGGTGTCACCTCTGCCGGCAGCAAAAGTCTGACAGCAGGGTTGGGGACTGGATCCGAATGGTTCGTTTTAGAGACCCCTGAGCTCGACGGGAGATGGTGATTCACGTCACTTGTGAGTTTTGGAGGTTCGGGAAGGGTAGGGGACGAATTGAGAAAGTTTTGAAGCATGGACAGTCTTCTAGGATCAGTAGCATCATAGCGACCAGAACCACGCTTTCGAGGCGATATCAGCACACGAGGGTATCTTGTAGCAGATCTTTGAGGGGACGTGCTGGGCTGGAGCAGATGCCTCGATTTGAGCTGTGGAGTGGAAGCTTCCATTTGGAAGTCTGAAGTCAAGGTCGAGTTTTGTTGCAGATCTAGTTCGTTAAGCACGTCCTTCTTCCCCGAAGTACCTTCAGTCTGTTGAAATTCAGTCTGCGCAGTATCTCCATCCACCTTGGACTCCTCGGGGCAGACCTTAGTTTCTGAAGCTTCTTCGACGAAACGTTTCCAGAATGAGACATTGCTCCACACATTGCTCAGAGCTGAGTGGTATCTAGTCAAAACAGGAAGAATCTTGTCCGTGATTACAGCATTGGCCTGGGAGAGATTCCTGTCGATCTCCTGAAGAACTAATGTGGTTTCTTGTTCTAGGCGCTCCAACTCGATATGGGCTGAAACGCCACTCCCCTTTTCCCTTTTGGCGGAGTTGACGTGGACTGTGGACTTCCTTCTCGATTCCATCGTCTTGGGCTCTATTATATTATTGTTTTGATGTGTTGATGTTGAAGCGCGTGTGGTGTACCATACAACGCGGAGGTAGATTGCATCCTCCGTGCGAAGGCTACATGAGACATCGATTAGATCCATCGGCTGGATCAAGTCAATGATCTTGAAATTCTCTTGAATTGCAGAAAATTCAGGTCAAAATATTGGAATTCATGAAGTCCAGATAATCGATTATTCATAATCACCGCCAATAATTTCGGGTAGATCGGGTTGGTTGAGAACTGACTTGATCTAGGTGATACTGGAATCTACATTTCGGGCCAGTGTATATCTGAAATGGACCTGAAGAATTCTCGAGCTTGCAATGACTCGTTTGCCAACCAGTATAGAAGGCCTCGTTGATCAACGTGCCGTATCTACAGCAGTGTCGCACATTTTGCAACCGTCACCACTACCACCAAACTCGCCATACACAACGATTTTTATTATTAACAAACTGGCATCTCCGCCTGCTTTACCAAAACCATTTACACTACTTTCCTTTTAAAAATTGAAGAACCTGACTGAAATCGCTAGACATGCCCAAATCATCACCGCTCGCACCCAGACCTCCAATGTGCGCATGCTTCCGATTACCGCTTTCAACTTCAGCTTCTCCATCGACTTTGAGGAATGGGCAATATCATGTCGGTTTCCTTCGCCCCTGAATGCACGGATGCAAAGACAAAGTACGATGACTGCTTCAACAAGTGGTACACGGAAAAGTTTTTGCAGGGGAAGTCGCTTCACAACGAATGTACCGAGCTCTGGGATGAGTACATCACTTGTGTGAACACTGCTTTGGCAAAGCATAAAATAAAGCCAATGTTGGACAAGGCTCGCGAGGATCAGCCTTTTGGCGAGGACTTACTGAAAAAGGACAAATAAGGCTTGTAAATAGATACGGGGCGCATGCCTCAGTGGTGACGAGATAAGAGTTATAATAAAAGGAACGCTGCCAATTTTTGTAGCTATGAAACTTTTGCAGAGATGCTTGTCCATTTTGTCTTACTATTGACAGCTGTTTTAGCTTTTCCACTCAACGTGACTTCTTTTGGTTCCGCCTCTCACGGTATCACCTCCAACTACGACTTTGAAGAGCTTCATAAGTATGCACATCTCTCAGCGGTGGCCTACTGCCTTCAAAAGGGACTCCACACTGGAAAGTTGGGTGATCAAGAAGATGCTTGCCCCTCACATTCATGCACGTATCCCAGTGTTAGGAACATGAAGGTTTACAAGGTGTTCAATTTCACCGATTGGTTGGTTGTCGGTTCTGGATTCATTGCGATCGAGCGGGAGACCAAGCGAATTTATGTCGTGTTTCGTGGAACGTCGTCGACCCAGGACTGGATCAGTAACTTCGAGTTCTTGCACTCTCGTTACGAACCGTTGGTACACATGCGTGGTGACTTTGACTTAGAGTCTGAGGAAATTTGTGAAGGTTGCACAATACACAAGGGATTCAACACTTTTATCAAGACCAACGGCGAGGACATCGTGCGTGAGGTTGTCAAATTGAAGAAGAAACTTCCTGACTACTCTATTGTGGTCACTGGTCATTCACTTGGTGCTGCTCTTGCAACCCTCTCCGGCGTAGAGTTCAGGCTTTTAGGATTCGAGACTTTAGTTGTCACCTTAGGTGGGCCCAAGGTGGGTAACTCGCAATTTGTCGATTTTGTCGATAACCTTTTTGACACTGACTATGTTGAAGAGCATATCAACAAGTACCATTCTTTCGACACCCTTTCAAGCGGCCTCATTAGAGCAACACATAAGCATGATCTTATTCCGATGCTTCCGCCGACCTCTCACTATAAGCAGTGTGGTTATCAATACTATCTTAGTGCAAAGGGTCCTCACCAGTCTCCAGAGACTATGATCAGAAGAGGCACGGACTATGTGGAAGATGATCAACTACTTGACTACCAGTCAATGTTGCCAAGCTCTTTTAGCCGAGGTGAACACGTCAACTATTTCTTCAAGATCACCGGTTGTCAAGACCTTTAGTCAGACTCTGATATGTGAAGCATTTCGCTCACCGTGGGTACCTTCAACCTCGCCTTGCTAAGCTTCTCTCCCTCTTTGAGCTCGTACTCATTTAATTTCGTCCATCCCTCCCATGTAACTGCATGGCGAGGAATATCGACCTCACCATCTTCTTTAGAGGGTTTGTTGAACACACCATTGCTTAGATCCTCCAATATATTGTTAGCTGTATCGAATGACTCCATCATTGTAGTTGCAATCACACCCTTGGGTCCGCTTTTGATCCATCCTGAAGTATACCAACCCTTATCATAGCTGTAGTTGTGTTCCAAATCCTCATTGAGATTTTTCTCGAGCATAAGCCTACCATGCTTATGTACTAGACAGTTTTTGCCACTGTCGAATGCCAATCCAACTTCCTCGAAGCCGTCAAGTGGAGAACCTTTGTAGCCGATCGATAAAATCACCAATTCGTTGGGTATGGTAACATATTGTCCTGTACCTTTTACGCTAACTCTCTTAGTAAGCTTGTCTTCCACCAACTCATTAACCTCGAATTTTGTCTCTTTGAGCAAAGATGGGTCATTTTCGTCAACCACAAATTCCTTTGGACTCTTGAGAAATTCGAGGGCCCACTTTTTATGAGAGGGCTTGGGATCAGCAGCAGCCTCATCGGAAGCTTTCTCAAGAATACCAAACTTGCGCTTGTCAACTCTCAGTAACAGTTTAGCATTTGGCTTGATGTCATTCATGATATTTGAGTCAATTGGAACTAGCTGCACATTCAGATGCTTCTTCAATTCAACAAGTTCCCTGATCTCCTTGTTTGTAAAAGCGGACTCAAGAAGACCTCTTCTGGCGACGATGTTGACTCTCTCCACAGCACTCTTCTTGAGCAACTCAGTAGCCTCAAGACTTATATCGGTCGGAGACCAATGCTTTCCTGGATCCGCGAGAAGGACCCTGGCAACATCAATTGCAACATTACCATTTCCTATAATGGTCACATTCTTTATTTTTTCTAACGGAGGTGGAACATTGGTCTCACTATTTGCACTGTCTGGATGACTGTTGTACCAATTGACAAATTGACGAGCCAGGATCACCGCAGGCGAGTCGGCCCCGGGGATGTTAAGCCTGTTATCTGAGCTGGTGCATCCATATGACAAAACAATGGAGTGATAAACTTCCAGTAGACCTTTTAGCGGAATATCCTTGCCGACATTCACATTGCCAAAGAACCTCACCTTATCCCCATGATCTCTGAAGATATTGTCCATATACTCCTCACAGTTCTTTACTTCTGGGTGGTCAGGTGCAACGCCATAGCGACTTAAGCCATGAGGGGTCGGAAGTCTGTCAAAGAAATCGATTTTGATGGGAAGGTCATTAGACTTATTAAGCAAATGATGAGCGGTGTAAAACCCAGCGGGCCCAGTTCCAACAATAGCAACTCTAAACTGATTATGCTGCCTGGATATGCTGAAACATCGTACCCCGAAATTGACAGCCAGTAGTTTGAATAGGCTGCGCGAGATCATAGTAATGGGTGGAGGTCTAGTAGTCAGAGGAGGTTTTCAATTTACTATCGCGCATTTTGCACCCAATGAATAAACTGACCTTGGAATTACAGCTAGGGCCACACGATAATCTCATGTTTAAATAGCTCAGGTAGAAACTTTTATTGATAAATTTATTGAACACTAATTTTTGTTCGCTATAAACGACTCAATGACGAGTTAAAAGCTCTAAATCCCTGGAGATTGGTTTAATCGCATTTTTAAGCAACAAAACATATTTAAAAAGAGATAAAAAATCGAATCAAAGATCAAACTATTTCGATATTTGAGATAATAGTTTGTTGATAAGGAACTTATTTTACCGGTGCTTTCACATTTCCAGATCGTCCGAGATAGTTTAGTGGCTAGAATTACCGCTTGTCGCGTGGTAGACCGGGGTTCAATTCCCCGTCTCGGAGCTTTTCTATGCGCAAGTGGTTTAGTGGTAAAATCCAACGTTGCCATCGTTGGGCCCCCGGTTCGATTCCGGGCTTGCGCATTTCTTTTTGTATTTTTGATGTTCTTGTTGATGCTACTCTCTTTTTGCTGTACTAAAACTGTAAGCTGATTGAGGGGTGCCGTCGTTTCTTCTCGTCTAACGGGTACTCGTCAATGCATGCACTGTGTGACCTCACATCGCAATAAATTACCGTCAATTTTCTATTTTTAAGCAATTTTACCCACCTGACTCACAAAAGCTACTATTAAAAGTTGTCCCTTACTGCGGCTACGACGGTGCTGCTTGCAAATCTGACGAAGGCACGTTTTGTGCAGTACATGCATATGCCTTCCTAATGAGGTTTTCGCAGCCAGCCATACTGATCCCATCTTTCACCCTTGATGAATTCTGATCCTCAAACCAACTACCTTTGATCCCAGTCACTACTTCCAAAACTACTCGCTCATGATAGTATCTACCCCTCAGTGGCCGGATCCGGACACGATCCAATCGGTTCGGTCAAGGGCATCAGAACTATCCCGACAGTTCTCCTACGGCAGCACAGCATCTCATATTAGCACCCCTGGAAGAACTCCATTGCTCAAAGAACCCCAAGATACAACACATAAGAGACAACAAAGCAATCCCTTCAGTGTTCTATATGACCCGAACTCGCCTCATAGACAGCACCCATCTCCAACTAAATCCCCAGCATACATTGATATCGAAAATGGTATCCATAACGGAAGATCACCTGTCGATGCATTCACATCTTCCCATAACAGACACCCAACAGTGACCCTAATAGATGACTCTGAGCTTCGGCGGGGTAACTCTGTGATCTCGAGGCTGGCCTCCATGAGACATAGACATGGAATCAGGAAGAGGACCAAGATGGTTAGAAGAGAAGACCTACCCGAAGGTCTAATAGTCGATGAGCTGACAACTTCAGGCGGAGAATCAAAAGGACGGAAGAAGAAGCAACCGAAGTTATCTTTTTTGTTTCCAGTACGCAGAAGAAGGTCCTTCAACTACTATCCAATTAAGACGGCACCCAAATTTTCATCTGAGGACGAGTTTGAAAACTTTCTCAACACACACGGCGGAGAAGTCATGAGAGAAATTCTACCGCAGTCCATGGCTGCCTACCAGTTCACGAACATCATTAGTCTTATTCCCACGATCAACATTTATCCACAATTGATGCATATGCCCCCTCAACAACCCATCTTCCGGGACAGTGAGCAGCAAAAAAGTGAAATTTTGGCTTCGGAGAAATCGCCGCTTCCACAAGAGAGATCCCTAGCACCCCCTAGGATTCAGAGACCACAGCAACTCACTTATAGCGATAATGTTCAGTACAAGGAGAGAGTATTCAGGGATTATAGACAGGCAGCGTTTGAAACAAAAAGCAGCATTCCACCAAAGCTTCATGTTTTGTTTCCCCTTGAGGCACAAAGCTTCACCAGCAAGGAGAAAGAACAGCTCGAGACCAGACTTCTTTTTGAGATCCTTATGAGAAGAACAATCGCAGCAAAAATCGACTTCAGGCTTAAGCAGCAGGGCTTCCATAAGAAAGAGAGAAAACCAAAAGAGAAGCCTAGCCAGAATTTCCTGTCTTCCTCTTCCTCGGGTCCCTCCGATCGCCCGGACAAGCACGTCGGTAAGAGAAGCCGTCGTGAGCCTAGGACCCCACGAAACACGAAACCTGCTAAAGAGTCAGATAACCAAAATGCCTCGCTTCTTTCTGATCCACTTCCATCTCCACAAATCAGCTTCAATGCTAACATGTTTGATCCAGTGTACAACAATTCGCCCGTGAGTATCGGGGATTGGAAACAAAGATATATATCTTCGCTCGATAAGTCGCCTGGTAGAGGATCAGGCAACTCACATTTGGTAACCAACGGCAACGGACATCGCAAGACACCATCCCAAACATACGTTTACAACTTTGATAATGTTGACCTTGTCTCTAAAAGAGAGCGCTCAACGCCCAACTTATCGAATGTTGCACTTTATTCAATGCAACCGGTAACAAGATCAGAAGCAACATTCACATCATCCGAGGAAAATTCTGCAGAGCCCATGTTACCGAATGCCTACTCACATAGAACTTCGGACTCGACAGCTGAGACTAAGAGTAATTCTCGTGGGTCTGCCTCAACTGATCAGTGTCCAAATCAGGAGAAACGAACATCGGAATCTACAACCAACACCTCAGTTCTTCAGAGTTTGGAGGACCTCTCCGAATCCGTTTTCCACTACTTGCGATCCGAAGGCGCCATGGTACACCACAGGTATTCACTCGATGTGGCCCTGGGTGTCAACCCTGAGTCGTTGTATAACTCGCCGGATCCTTCCAAAGCTTCTACAAACCCATTCTCCCCCAAATCTCCCCGTCCAAACAGAAGATCACCGCCTCATAATGTCCCAACGACGCCATCGGCGATCGGTGAAAACAATTAGGGTCTTCATATCTAGCATTTCGAACCACATTGCATTCTTCATAAATAAGTGATAAACATAAAAAGAACTATCTCTTACTAGACCTCTTAATATCTTTTGACTTGGCACCCTTTTGCTCAGTGCTTGCGATTGAGGGCTCAGTTGTCTGTCTGTGCGAGTCTCTACCAGAGTCTTCGACCACGATAGAATCTTGCAAGCGCCGCCTTGATCTGTAGGCCTGATGTAAATCATTCACTTTACTGAACTTGTCAGCCAACTCATGAATTCTCTTTCTTCTCGTATTGAGTTGGGCACTGTTTGAAGAGGCAACGGCACCTGGAGTCGATGTTGGCGTATTCAATGAGAAGCCGGAGTTACTGCTCTGTCCATGGAATGGGGCCACGGTTGACAATCTGTTTCTCAAAGTTGTAAATGTTGACGACTGTGGCATGATCATGAGAATACCATAAAGCGTCTTGTATAAATGTGGATGCTTGTCCGGTTCCAATAACTGAAGTCTCAATTTCAAAAAGATTGGAGTTTCAAGAAGCTGGATAAGGATATCAAGCTGAGTGAGTAATTGAAAAGTAACCTCCAGTTCACCAAGGCATTTGATTATAAGGAAAGCCAATTCATAGTTGGAAGTGAGTAAACATATCGACAAGGCACTAGCTGGGCTGTGACACCAGCTTTGGAAAAGAGTCGAAAAGAATACCCAATCCTCAGGCTTCTGAAAGTCAAGATTCTTTAGCTTCGTGCGAAGACCCTGAAGCTCGTGAGTTGTAAGCAAAATGTTGTTGAGTGTAACAACAATGTTGCCAACAAACTCTAGATTCAACTTCTCGAAGGAAACCAATACCTCAGATAGCGTTTGGAAAATCTTTTCGGCACTTATAGAGACGCAAAGTCTCCTGATCATGAACTCGACCTTGCCTCTTGAGATTGCATTTGGCCCCGAAGATGGCTCGTCAGGCTCTCCTGTTCTTCCATTGTTTTCCACGCCATCCGTTTCGAAGAAGAAAATCAATTTCACCATAAACTCCTTGAAAAATTCCTGATTATCTTCGGAGATCTTGGATGCCAACAGCAATACTTTAGAAATAACCTCATTACTCGAGTCTGTGGACGACCTCAAAAGAGCAGTCAAATCAAAAAGGTATCGATCCTGACTGTCACCCTTCTTGCTTTCGTCGATTTCGAAGAAACTTCCTGGATAGCTCGAGTAAAGGAATGTGAGCCAGTCCATCAGTGTCAATCGTGAAAGCTCATTGACATTATGTAGGCACTCGTTCATCACAACTCTCAATGCTTTGTTGAGATACAACTCTGTGAACTCATCTAGAACATCTTTATTTAAGCCCTCGATTGCATTGTCGCTAACTTCTGGCTGGTCAGAGTTACTGTCTTTCGAATTGTTCGTAGTTGAATCCGTGGCACTTTCATTGAGTCTGACAAGGTATGATTGTAAAGCTTGATTGAAATTCAAAAACTGAGATCTGAGATCATTGTCTTTGTTGTCGTCCGTCAAGGAGATATTATGCATATTGATTGCGATACAATCTGGAAGAAACTTTGAAAAGCTAGTTGGAGTGATACAAACAAGCTCCTGTAACCATTTAAGTACAGTCGATTGTATCTCCAAGTAGATATCATGAGACTCGGCAGAAAGGTCGTTGATTTTAACATCCGAAGAAGAATTGGACAGACCAGATCTCAAAAATGAGAGTAAGATATCGATAATTCGAGGACAGTCTATGAATATATCTTGACCATCGATGAAAAGAGACGTGTCGTCTTGAGATACGTCATTTGTTTCACCCTCTGCTTGCTCGTTATCTTGATGAACAGGACGTCTAATGACAGTGGTTGAGCTGGACTTTATAGATGCGTCATCATCATCAGTGGCTTGTTTGGGTTCAACAGTGAGTCCTTCCATATCTTCCTCAATGTTCTGTCGAGAGCCTTTCTGGCTTTCTGCGACAAGCTGTCTCCTCTTTAACTCATACTTAACCTTGTAGATACTCCTAATTTCTTTCAAAAAGATATTGAGAAGATTGTGGGTTTCGACGCGGACGTCAGATGGACAATTGTTCATGAAGAACCGAAGGAGAGGCTCCAAAAAGTTTGGCAAAAACGTGAGTAACTCTAACGAAGGAATATCATCGAATAGCTCCAACCAACTCAATAGGAATTTTTTGGCAAAGGGGTCAATGGTGTACATGCGTTCTAAAAGTGTGGGAATAAACTTTGGCAAGGAGAATGCTTTGGACGCATCCTGAGGGTTATTCACTTGGATCGAGCGACCATCTGGTCCCATGACATTTGATTCAATTTCAGTAGATTCCTCGGGTTTTTGATGCAAAATGGAGACATAGTTTGTTGACTTGGCACTCACAATGTCTTTGATCAACCTGTCAAGGATATCGGCCGCGTTCTTAACCGAAGACTCAGTATCCGTCACCAAGATGCACAAAATGTCGAAGATTTCATTGAAGTATAAGAGGATTTCGCCTCTTGCAATCTTAGATATATTGTAAAGAGACTCACATGCATAATAACGCACTCTTGCGTCCGTATCTCTAAATGTACGGAATATGGGTCTAACGATATCGTCTAGGAAATATGCAATGGCAAAGGAGCCCAAAGCCACAGAAACACTGCCAAGAGCAGTGATAGCTCCCATTGTAGCAGAAGTCGAAATACCATCGAGAAGCTCGGTGAGTTCAGCTATGATTTTGGAGATCGTTGGAGAATCATTTCTTGCGAGTGCTTGCTTCGTGAAACCCTCAATTTGAAATGCGGTTGCTTTTCTTCTTTCATAAATATGGTTGGAGAGATCTTTTATGATCGCAGGCTCCAACACACGTGGCTCACTCATTCGTTGACCTGTTACTTATCGGTTGTAGTGAGATTGATCTATGTTGATATCGCGTACAGGAAAGTCGAGAGCCGAAACCATGTTATTCATCTGGGCTATATAAAAGGTTTGTCGATTCCTCATTTCCGGAATCAAAATTTCGCTTCATCTGATCCTTTTAAAATCAGAGCTCATGCGTTGACTCTTCTTTTCTTCTTCTTTTCTGCTTCCTTTGACCACTCACCCATGTAGAATATATCGTCTTGCTCCTCTTCTCTCAGACCTTGACTGTCGACCTCAATTTGGTCATAATCATACTCTTCTGGCGATTGTTTGATCTTAGGTTCAGCACCTGGCAAGTTTGAAAGATTATGCTCGTGAGTCGCGACCTTGTCCGGGTGCTCTGCCGGCTTGCCCGGTAGGATCTTTGACAATTGAGCAATATCCTCTAAGCTTGCAAACTGTTCTATTGATGGAATCTGAACGTTGAACCTGATATACAAGTCTCCACGTGTGATATCAGAAGAATCTGTTTCCAAATCTGACTTCTGATAATATTTGCCATTGCGAATACTCAGATTTATGGGCATTCCCATTCCTTTCACAATCTTCGGTGTGTTCAGGTTAATGGAGCCCACAACTTCTCCGCGCTTGATAGCAGCGTTCACTGAGTCATTCATGGCATCGTTACCGTGTACGTTGATAAATATCTTTAGGTCCTCTCCAGGATTGATGAAGTCGTGAACGAAGATTGTCCCGCCGACAAGTGCTGTCTTCAAGTCAATGTCTTGCTCGAGAAAAAGATCGTTATTGCGCCTTATTAGAGACGGGTGTGGAAGCTCTTGAAGGTGGATCACCACATCTCCGGGCTTAATGTTTCTGCCCTCATCCGCCATTCCTCGTATGATACACTTGTCCCCGTGTTTCAGTCCAGGAAGTATGCTGACATTGAGAATTTTCTTCTCCATCTTGAAGCCACCTTTACAATCAGGGCATCTGTCTCTTTCGGAAAAATAAATCCCTGTACCCTTGCAAGGTTGACACGCGGAGATTTCTTCGTAACTAGAAAACCTATTGGACATCAGCACATGCACGCGACCCAGGCCCTTACATTGACGGCAGGTCTGTGGGTTGAGGCCACCGATACCGTTACAGGTTCCACACTTGGCCCTTCTGGGGAGCTGGAATTTTGCCAGGCGACCATAGTACATATCTGCTAGTGTGACCTTAAATGTATGCTGAATATCGGGGCCTTGTTGCAATGATTGGGTACGAGGATCGGCCGGGGCTGGTCGTATGACCCGTTTGCCATTGCCTGGTGTATTCATGTTCATGTTCATGTTCATGTTAAACCCCATGTTCATTTTACTGCCTGCAGCATTCATAGAACCGCCAAAAAGCCCAAAGTGATCATCAAAAGGGGAGCCTTGAAACACGGAGTTCATTTCATTGAACATATGTGAGAATAGGTCTTGTTGGAATGGAAATCTCTGCGGAGCTGCTCTCCTCTGCTGCTCCTGTTTGGCTGCAACCAGACCATCTAGGCCACCAGGGCCATAGACATCGTATACTCGTCTTGTACGCGGTTCTTTTAAAACTTCGTAAGCCTGAGTTGCTTCCTTAAACTTTTCTGTGAGATCTGGATCATGGTTGGTTTTGTCAGGATGATACTTGAGGGCTAGTTTCTTGTAAGCCTTGCATATTTCATCTCCCAGTGCCTGTGGGGTCACTGCTAACAAATCATATAGATAAGTCTCGTACACCATAAAGCATAAAGAGGGATAATAGTGATAATGAAGGAATGAGAAGACTTAAATGGTGCTAGGACTTCACTATACTGAATAGCGTTTCTGGAAGTTCGATCGCCTTCTGCGAGGCGCGTGGAGTGTGTAGAAAATATAACCTTACAGGAAGAAGACTGGATGACATCTTTCTGCTGATGCTTATGTAGTAAGGGAGTCTTTTGATCCTCGGAAATAGCTTAGTGATCTTCAGAATTGAGGATGAGTTTTAGTTGTCAACAGCGGGGATAAGTGCAGAAAGGATGAGGTAGACCAAATGCTTATCTGTGGCTGCGAAATCAGCTGCACTACCAGAGACAGTACGCAAGTCTACAATAGCAAGAAAGCTGTAGGTAGAATATACTCGATTAAAATCTAGTGTTAGTTGATGATTTTAGGAAAAAATCAAACACCTTGTAAGCTTTCTGGTTTTATCTTTATGTACCCCGCAATTAGTATTTGGATCCGAATTGTGTATAGTGTAGTCACACCACGGTTCAACCTAGAGACAGACAACTACTTAGATCAAGGCATCAACCAGCATGGCCTGCCCAGTTCATAATGCTACGCTCGCAGAAGCAAAGTCCCTTCATTGCCTCTATTTACCCAATGCGTCAAGTAGCCAATTACTGGAGAAGCTCGTCTCTGAAGTGAGCCTGGTAATTGACCTTCTTACGTCTTCTCTCCTGTGTATTCCTGCTCTTGAGCTCCATACGTCTGACAGCCTTCTCCTGTTTCGTGACCTCCTTCAGTGTTATGCCAGGCGCAAACCTTCTGTCGACTAAAGCAACGGTCTTTGTCAGTTCTGGAGCATCCCGAACAACCAAACTCGTGGACAGACGAGGCTGTCTGACGTCTCTGTGAAGCACACGGGAGCCCGATGGGAGTGTAAGCTCGCGTGAATCTGCTGTGTAATTTGGCAAGTCCTCAATCTCGAAGTGGTCTTCGTTCTCCGAAAAAGCCACCCTCTTCGATGTGGTGGGAGCAGTTGGCAGCTCCGATGCCAAAGAAAAGTCATAAAATTCGTCGAAGACGGCTTTTTCGCCTTTGGTCTCGTAAGGCATACGGCAATGTCCCTTGGATATCATATGCTGTCTTATACTCTCAAGAGACTTGCCTTCAAAGCCACATGTGAGGCATTCGTTGTCAATGTAGATAACTTCGTTAAGGAATGTGAGCAAACCATCAAGGTCACTCAAAAATGTTCTTTCGGGGATATAAAGGCCGTGCTTACTCAGCATGTGCCTCAAGTTATTCTCCACCAGGGCATTGTTCTTACCGCAGTAGAAGCAATAGTAGTTTGGTAATTCGTCGAGATCGTCCTCGGGCTCTGATTCAGAACCACTTACATACAGCTCCTCGGTATCAGAATCTCTTCCAGAGTATGTGCCTTCTGGCTCGGAGTAGTTCAACTCAGAGCCGGTGTCGAAATCTCCTTCCGACAAAAAGTGCTCTGATTCACCCAATGAGAACGTAGAATCAAACGATGGAGCAGGACTAGTGCCTCTTTCCACTATTGTCTCAGGAAAATCGAGTTCTCTGCCTCTTTCTGCTCTTGCCATCTGCTTCAATTCTTTCTTAGTAATCTGTCTCTCGCCCTTCCCTGATTTTCTTCTGTGGTTGACATGGAAGCCAAATTCGTCCTCTTCTCTGGAATCACTTCTAGTGCTTTGAGAGGCGAGGACCTTCTCAGCAAAGATGTCAGATGAAATCAGTGGAAGTCCAGAGACCCTTCGCTTCAAGTTATATCTGTGCCATTCAGTCTTCATATGCTGTCTCTGTAAATCAGCACTGACGAACCGTACTGAACATGAATTACATGTAAAGCTGGCGGTGGCTGGGGTAAACCCTTGTGGTAAAGTCGTCACACTCATAATAAGTTGTGGTTGGAGATGAGTAGCAAATGCAGAGGTATAGAAATAGTGCGAAGAATGAGGCGATAAGATCTGACTAGTTGGGCTAGACTCTGCAGATCTATTAAACCAATTACGGCTTATATTTCGTAAATTCAGTCACTTTTCCAGAATCAGAATTTATTGAAGTGATGTGATCTTTTCACGGTAACAGTATTCTAATCGGTATTATCTCTCATCTTCGATAATCCACTCTTCGCACTAATAGTCGGAGTTCAGCGGTCATGCTTTAGAAATTCCATGGATCACAAAAAAAAGACGAGTCAAAAAGCTTATTTTAATCTTGGCCTTATTGGCCGTTTGAACTTGGGGTTCTACAGCATTGCCCCTGATGTCAGCCCATTTTGCAGCCATTTCCATCTAGTCTCTCATCTACGACAACGATCCCACCTATTATTTCTATTATTACAAAATTAAGCAACCCACAGATGAGACAACGTAGGCCAAACACGCTTGTAGAGCGCCATCGCAACAACATCTTGTGCAGAAAGACGTCCATCGAAGGTACTCTTGAAATAACCATGAGTACCCAAGCTCTCCTTGATGAAACCAGTCCTGCCCGATTTGGTGAACAAAGGCACAGCCTTGAACCAGTTGATGTCTTCGGAATTGAAGAACATATACCTCACCGTGACGAGACGTCTGTGAATCTTCACTGGGTGACCCGTCAAGACCACTCTTTCTGCCATCACTCTGGTGTGGTCGCAATTCAAGAAAGTACCTTGGCCAACAAGCTCTAAACCACCCTCTGATGTGGTCTTGAAGAAAATGGCCGGAGCATTGTGGAAAATTGGAGGAGCAATTGTGGTAGCAATGCTGAGTTCTCCTTGGTGAGCGAACCTTTCACTCTTATGCACATTGTTGGAGGGGTTTGATGCCTGGTTGAATTGAGGGTTGATAACCTGTCTTCTGAATCCGTATTGCACGATAAGCTGCTCGCCAGATGGGACTGGCTTTTCGTAGTCCTCCCAAGTTGAGAAGGAGAAATTGGTAACAGCCAACTTGTGTTCATGCTGGAGCAACAGGTAGACAACGAATGGATTGACGCTGACATCGACGTTTTCCACAACGGAAGGTGGAGCACGGATGAAAAGACGATATTTCTGGCCTGGAGCAGTCTGTGCTTCCTTAGCGGCGTCTTTCTGTAACTTGTTACGGGTTGCCTTGAAGTGATTGATCCTAAGCAACCGGCTGTATACTGATGGTCTTTCAGAGTCCTGCTCGTCCCAGTGCCAATCGCAGTTTCCAAGAGATTTGATACCTCTGTAATCGCCCAACTTATCTTTAGCTGACTCCTCGGGTGCTAATTCGATTTCGTCTGGGAACTCACGGTCTTCCTTCTCCAAAGCTCTGTACTGTTTGAGCTGTTCTTCTTCTTCTTCGGGAGATAATTCGACGAACATCTCCAGCTGAGCGTCACCAAACTGCGATTTAGTATCATCATCGTCCATGCCATTGTCTTCCATATCTTCCTCGATATCATCTTCACCAAGTTCCTCCATTTCATCGATACTCTCTGCGTCAGATGCATTTTCAAGTACGTCATCAAGCAACCACTTGCTCTGATATTCGGAGGTGCCTTCTGGTGCTTTGAATCTCTTGTTTTTCTCGTTTGCTCCTCCATCGAAATAGTTCTTGCCCTCCATTCTGACACCATAGTCGTCGTACTCATATTCATCAAAGTCTTCCATGTCAGCCTCCTCAGGATTGAGCTCCTCAAGTGTTTCTTGGTTAATGTCCGCGTTGTACGCGAGAACGTCCTCGTCTTCCATTGGGTTTTTGTGCTTGGCAATTTTTTCAATACGCTGAACCTGGAAATCACCATGGCCAGGGATATGCACAAGTCTATTGGCGTTGAAGCCCACACCTCTCACCGTACCTTCAACGATGACAAAGCCTCCTTGATCAGAATCAGCGACCCAGTTCAAGCTGTCAGCAAGGACATATGCTCTGGAATCTCTCCAACTTATAGCCTTTGGCATCTTTTGTGCAATGGTACGAATACAATTGAGAGCCTCCGATTCAGATTCGAGAGCATAAAGCTTCTCTTCGGTGGGGAAGAAATGTGTGAAGAACGATTGTAAAGATTGACGGATATCTTGTTGTAGGTTCTTCTTTGGGTATGCAGAAATGACATTGGGTAAAACACCCACAACAGATGCAACACCTTGGGCCACAATGGCTCTTAAGATCAGCTCACCATAGTCTTTGTCGACTTCTTGTTCTGCAGAAAGGCCAAAGATGACATAGTCTGACACCTTTGTCGCATCCAAGATGGAGATCAAGTTGGTCTGATCTGGAATGATGAACTTGACATTGGACTTGAAACGTGGCAATCTGAGCGAAACCACCGATGGACTGGAGAATTCAATATCGGGATCTTCCGGAGTGGCCTTTATGCTGTTCACTAATTGAGATGCAATGCCTGCTGGTGAAAGATCTGGTGTAAGTGCAATAACGGTGATGATCTTCTCGGCACCCGAGGCTCCTTCAAACAAACGTCTGGCAAGTTTGGTCTCCAAGATTTTATGATCCTTGAGCTGCTTGCTTTGGTTCTTCCTCTGCAATTTAGACACAACCTTCTGGGTCTTTCCTGATCCGGGACCGGCCTTTTCAACCTTACCCTTGTACTGGTTCTTCAACAGACCCTTTGACGCATGTCTTGACTTGAATGGTTTGTGGTCTTTCTTAAGGGTGCTTCTATGCGAATGACCACTTCTTCCCATAATGCTAATTCCAGGATTTGTGGGGTTTACTATGGTGATAATGATCGTATGTAGCTCATCGCAGGCGCGATGGCCTTAGGGCACAAGCCCTAGGTGCGGCGGCCCGGTGTCCTAGTATGGGTGTACAGGTTCGCTCGCGACCTCGATTCTCGGTACCCGCACGTAGCAAATTTTTCTCAATCTACCGGACTGGCGCTCGTTACTAAGGAAATTTTCAATATCTACTTCAAACGCTACACCAAAGTCAAGTAATTCGTATGTGATAAAGTAAACACTACGGATCGATGATGTTTCCCAGTGAAAGGATTGAATAACAGAATGTACCTTTACAAACGCCAACTTTATTTTTCCACCACAAACGAGTTTAATGTCCTGATAGTCCTACTCATGTCCAATCCAGTCTCCACAACATATTAAAACACCTCCATCGAAAGTTCAGAAACTTCCATCCCATACCAGTTATTAAAATACTCGTCTCCAACGCCGTCCTTTGCATCCTTTCATCATCTGATCTTCCCCATACAAGCTTTATACTAACCAACAGAATATGGCTCACGAAAACGTTTGGTTCTCCCACCCAAGACACTACGGTAAGGGTTCTAGAAAGTGCAGAGTTTGCGGTACTCACTCTGGTTTGATCAGAAAGTACGGTTTGGACGTCTGCCGTCAGTGCTTCAGAGAGAAGGCTAAGGACATTGGTTTCAACAAGTACCGTTAAAACCCTGTCACCCTAATCTTATCATAGGCCCACGGGCTAATGCGGTTTTACTGTATAAATACATCATCATTCGATAGGTAACATGGATTGTAGAGTAGCATCTTGAAGTCCCGACAGATCAGACACCGGTTCATACTAGGAAAGACACGGACTTCCCTCCTTGGAACTTAGTGACTGGACATGACGCAAATTTGTACGAAACGATTCTAGAAGGAATTGCTTTAAACTCGATCCCCATCCGCTTGATCGAAAGCCTACTGTGCTTTAGCTTTTGCAACATCTGCTGTTGTAAGTGGCCATCACAGGCTCTACCAATGGCGATGGCACAATATAAAACGTAGAAGCTGATCACCGTTTTCGCTGACACTACAAGAGTATTATTTCTTAAAGATGTAACCCAATTAATCGACATTCAAAATCCATCGCCTCACTAAAGAGACCCGTCGGATAACAAACTTCCTAGTGGGTTTTAGCTACTCTGGGGAATGCAATATTATGATAATATGGCAACGATGATAACTTGACAATTTACATTATCTCGTCGTGGCAAATATTCCCGTTTACTTTTTGATTGAAGAAGAAAAGACTTGATGGGAAAGTTGAGACCTTATATACCTCAGTGGGTCTCGCACGACCTCATCTAATTTCTAGGGTTTGGCTACTTTTCAAAAATACCTAAAAGATTTTATCTGTCTAATATACCAATGTGAGAAGATTAAGCCAATTGTATATGTATCAAGTATCCATCCGATCTTGATCTGGTAAGCCCGTTACTGACTATATAATAGCTGCAAACCGCACTACCTATTATCGACCCAAAGCCGGACACAACTAGTACACTATAAGGTAGTGAAATTTTCTCTTTTCTGTTCTGAAGGTCCATCAACTTACTTTATTTATTCTTCCATTCTTCGCTTGACAACGGTCAGGGTTTTGATAGAAAATAGTTGCACGTGACCAAAGTTGTATCTTCAGATTTCTCAATTGCTAGTCTCAAGCACCGGTGATGTCAGGAAGAGCAGGAAAAGCTATTACAGTCGTCGCTGTAGGCGCCATTGGCTGGTACACTGGTGTCAAGTTCTGGCAGCCATTGATTGTGTAAGTAAGATGCGCTTCAACAATGCTGAATTCGACTAACAACAGTGAACAACTCAAAAAGGACGGCAATCTCAAGGAAGGCGTCTATGTGAGAGATTACGACGACCAGCCCAAATCCTGGCAAGATGTCAAGGACACTCTTAGCAAGATCCTGGATCCAGCTCTCAAAGATGAGCCTAGGGAGGAACTACAGAAAGACCTTCAGCATGCAGAGATTAGGACAGACTCAGTTGAGACGACTGGTAAGCCAAATTAGAGTACTTAAAGATGGTCAATTACGGATATACTAAAAGGGTGGTGTTTTGAACTTTGATTCATCGTCCTTGCAGCCGGCCTACTGGCCTTCGAGCAATCACCGTCGATTAACAGACTCATTGCAGTTTGAAGGTGAACATATGAACTCCATTTACATCGATCAGGCATTCCCAATTGAAGTTATTTTCCTTCAAGTAGCAGTTCAAGTTCACAGACGGTTTTGCAAGTCACGTACTGAACAAACACATTATCAACAAAACAGAGAGATAGCCCATGTTTTTCATGGTGCTTAAGCAGTAAATAAAAATCATCTAAATGTAACAGTATTGCTTTGGTAGACGCTGAATAAGTCCTCACTACTGTAATCGATACTGGATCGCCTGTATATGGGGTGCACTACTGCCCATCTCATCGATGCGTATTTTGACTACGAGTAAAGATACCTTAAAATGGGAAAGTTGAGGAAAGGAAGAAGATCTCAGAAATCGAGAACGAATCCTGTTGCCCGTAAGGACGGCTCATCGAAACAGGACATAAAGGATGAGAATACCAGACAAAACAAGATCGTCCCTTTGATATCCAAGTTATCATCCTCAGCTCCAAATGATAGATCCGTGGCACTCAGTGCTATCATGGTTCTCGCTGAAGATGCCAGAATGAGAAGACTTCTCCTCAAAGAGCGTCTTGTGACTACATTATTGGAGCAGACCCTCAATGATCTGAATGATGAGATCGTGGTGGAGCTGTTCGGCCTTTTGAGGAACTTGACAATTGAGGAAGGACATGAAGTGGCCAAACACTTGTGGCGGTCTAACATTTGGGCTGCAATGGAGAAAGGCCTCGAAAAGATCGAGAAGTCGTTCGAGTTCATCGACAACAATCTGGAGAAGAAAATGGAGAAGAAAAGGGCACTTTTGTTGTATGATTTCACCGAGAATCTTTTGTCTCTCGTTGTTGCTATTGCAGCAAGCTCTGACGAATTATACGAACATATCTGCAGCAAGATGGACCGGATCCTTCCGCTTACAGTGTCGTTGATTGCGTTCAACACCCCAAAACTCAGGACTTCTCTCAAGCTATTCAATGCGCTTTTGGATCTCCTCTATGAATTTGCATCGGACTCTTCCGACTTTATCGTGGAGCTTGTCAACAACACGAATTTCTCACTTAGCGCATTAGAGAGTGCATTGCAAGATCCTGTCCACGACAAAAACCATTTGGGAAAAGTTTATGTGGAAGGTCTTCGATTCCACATATACGAGGTAGACCCTGAAGCCAAGAAAGAAGTCAGTAAAGAGAAGGCGTGTCTTTCTATACTTGGAAACATTTTTCACACTATCTCAGGCACGAACCTTGATGAGATACACAAACAGTTAAACACGACTGACACCGAGCCAGTGCAGAAGGATAACCGCGACAAGAAGGAGGAGAAGCCTCAGGATATCGACGTGCCTTTTGGCGGAGTCAGTCCAGAGAAGGCTCAAGCTTCTGCGGATCTACAGGCTATTGATGTGACGATCGACCTTTTCACAAGCTTATGTGAATACCTCGCAATCGACGAAGGTTCTATGGAAGCCCTGGTTGTTTTGGGAGAGGAAGTCAGATCGTTTCTTTTAGACACCGCGTTTGCATCATGTTTACATTTGTTAAAATTTGACCACGAACACGGTTCTGGCTTAGGCCTTACTGGGAAGGTGTTAGTAGCACTCAACAATCTTAGCTGGCTTTTTGTTACAAGCAAGGAAACTCCAGTTCCGTGGTACAATTGTGCTTTGGAGCTCTGGGATGCTATCGAATGTGTGTCAGGCAGTGCAGACATTGAAACCCAAAGACTTTGCCTCAATGTTTTCTGGGCTCTCAGCAAGTGTCTCGGGACGGACGTACAGAGAAAAGTGAGACCCGAAATAGTCGACAGTTTGCTAAACAAATGCCAAGAGGTGATTGGGAACGCTACGCAGCAAGATGATCCTGCATTGGCGTATGAGTTTGTATTGTCTAGCATCGGTTTTATGGGAACATTGGCACAAACCATCGGCAATGTTCAGACTACGAGGGCCATCGGTGAGTTCCTACTTGGGGCAATCGACCATTTCTCGCAAGGGGCAGGTCAGCAAACGCAAGCAGTGGAAATTGTTGTGGAGAGCTTGAACCAGATTTATGATATTTTTGGGGATGCCGAGTATGAGTATGACCTACCTGTATTTGTCGAGGGCGGGTTCCTAACACGGTTAGAAACTATCGAACCAACCGTGCGCAATTGCTACAAGCGCATCGACAAGCACCGGGAACCCGAGCTTCGGGCCCGTGCAGAAGAAGCATGGACTAATTTGAGCCGCTTCACAGAGTACAAGCGGCATGAAAGGTTGTGAGGATCTTGTGCAAGCTTGAGAGGGCTTCGAAGCAAGATCTCCTGATTTTTTTTTCTTAATTTCCTTTCCCTTTGCCTAATTTCAATTCTTTGGCAAAACGCCACTCGACTTGTTTGCGGTAGGAATTCAAATGGGAAAAAATCTTGAACAAAAGAATCAAGTGCCTTTCAATGCCCCAGGGACGACATATGGACCACCAACACAATAGAAGTTCGCAGAGACAAGCTTTAAAGTAGCAAGAATTATTACCTTTTAGGAGCCCGCAGTTGAAACACGGTGCACGTTTTGCTGGTGTGAGGAGAAAAAAAGCATCAAGAATTAATAACAAAAATAGTCTGTAGTCGCCGAGGCATGTAGCAGCGATGCCGTGGAAGGTGAGGCGGTTCTTCTGGAAGCATTAGTTTGCACAGCATGCTTGCTGCACAAGGGTGCGGAATCACAGTCGTCTAACCGAAACGAGGGAACTAAAGCAACTCAGCCCCGGAGGCGCCGCCTATTATCATAAGAGCGGCTGGTCACTATTTGTTGTATGTCCGGTGTGATCGCGCTAGAAGCGGCGCCAAGCGAAAGAACAATCGCCGCCATGTAGAGGGGATTGCTATAACAAGCAACAGCTGGCTTGGATTGAGTTCAGACAACCATCTGGGTGTGCACAGACACGTCAAGCTACCGCTGCATTTGGGTGCGAAGCGCATTTTCTAAGGGAGATGCGTGGGACCCTGACGCACCTTGACATTGTCTAAGCCCCCTATTTTTAGATTCCTGCGTGGAACCTATTGGCTGCAACACCAAGCACTTTCCGTGCCAACTAACCAGCCTATTCATGGATATATAAATGGAACTTCTGTCTCGAGAGAAGTCTTCTTCTTTTTTTTTGTTCTTTCTATCGCACTAATTCTTCAATCCCAAATGAAATACTCCACTCTCGCTTTATTCGCTACCGCTGTCGTCGCTGCCGAGGAGACCTTCAACCTCAGAGTCGTCTCTGAGAACGCCGAGGTCGACGGCAAGGGTATCTCCCCAGTCAGAGAAGGTGCTGGTATCAACTTCTTCCTTCTCGAGGCTGAGGTTGGCCCTGAGTTCCACTACAACGCCGAGGAGGCCCGTCTCTACCAGTACGACGGTGAGGACCAGGCCAACGTTGGTGTTGACGCTGGTTTCCTCCAAGGTGGCCGTGCTGTCGAGCCATCCGAGGTCACCTTCAACGATGAGGGTGTTCTCAAGATCGCCGAGCAGCTCTGGGCCTGTAAGGACCTTAACGACCCATCCCAGCACTTCGTTGAGGACTACGGTGTCGCTGCTGCCGATGAGGCCCCTAACGACACCTGTCACAAGATCTCCTTGCAGAGAGACGACGGTGACAAGAAGGAGGAGCCAGCTCCATCCCACGATGGCTGGAACCAGACCACCACCAAGCAGGTCACCGTGACTGGTTACACCACCTACTGCCCTGAGCCAACCACCTTCACCGTCACCACCTGTGTCGAGAAGGTCTGTGCTCCAAAGGAGGTGACCGTGTCCGAGCCAAAGACCGTGACCATCACTGAGAAGTGTCTCGTTGACAAGACCACCACCCCACACCCATCTAAGGTTGAGCCAACCGAGAAGCCAAAGGAGACCGAGCCAAAGGAGACCGCTCCAAAGGAGACTGCTCCAAAGGAGACTGAGACCAAGCCATCCACTGTTGCTGCTCCATCCACCTCTGCCTCCGTCACCTCTTTCGAGGGTGCTGCTGTGAAGAACGCTGCTGGCTTCGTCGCTGGTGTTGCCGGTGTCGCTGCTTTGTTGATCTAATTTCCTAATTTCGTTTAGACACTAAGATCTCGGGCTGAGTTATACTTTCAAAAAATCACTTTCTTCGTTCTGTTTTGATTTAAAGGGTACTTTAAATAGCTTTTAAATGAAGTAATCTTTCAGCACGCTGTAGATCTAAATAAGGCACACATACACTCCCCGCTCGGTGTTTGTCTCGGTGTCTCACTGACAGAAACGGTGTCTTGGCCGATATTTTTAGAACTTCGATCAGGTACTATTGCCCATTAGACTCGATGGAGAAGAAAGAAGAAAGCTGTTTCCATTATGGTCAGCGATCCTCTCAGATTTTGCCATTATAATGAATGCAGCCGTGTGTATGTACCGCTAATCTGATCGGCAGGGGTATTGCGTCACCTCGTAAATTGTGCGATTTTGATACAGCCGCATGGCTTTGCAGTCGGCCAACAGGGGTCCTACGTAAGGTAACTGAACAGAAATTTGTCATGTATGCTATATTTAAAACTACGTTTTTCGACCTGTGATGACCAAATTGGTCCTCAAGAGGTGGCTTGGGCTACTCCGAGCATCTGGACCCCTTGTTTTTGCAAGCCTCTCCCGTATTTAGACAAGCCAAATATAGACTGGTCATGGAATAGGGACCAAACCTCGGAATATTTAAAGACAAGCTTTCCGTGGGTTATTTAGCTACCAAAAAAATGATGTATCTTTCTCTCGTTTTGCTCGCTTCCGCCGTCGCCGCCGATCGCTACCAGTTCATCGTGGAGTCTTCCAACGACAACTACAATGGCTTGTACCTCTACGCCAACAAGGAGGCCAGGTCAGGCAATGATTATGTTTTCCTCAACGACCAGGGCATTGGCTTGGAGTACAATGAGGACGAACATTCTCTCGAAGGCTGGGACCTGAAGTTGGCCACCTTGGGACAGTATGTGGTGATGGCCTCTCGGGGAGATGGTCAAAGCGAAGTTCTGATTGAGGACGATTACCTTCAGTTGGGTCTTAAGACTTGGGCTTGTGGTGTTACTCAGGACCCTAATGGCTATGAACGGTCGAACTTGGTGTATGCCAACGAGACCCAGCCAAGGGAGGATTGCAGCGAAGTGAGATTCCATGCCGAGAAGCTTGATGGTGACTCTTCATCTTCGGTGCCTCCTATCAGTCTTCCTTCTCCAATCCCCTCGGATTCCTCGTCAATTCCACCAATCAGTCTTCCTTCACCCTTGCCTACCCCTAGCGGAGGTTGGAATACAACTACTACCACCCTCACTGACATCACGACTTACTGCCCAACCGAGACAACCATCACAATTACTACTTGTGGACCACACACTTGTGAGCCAACTACCATCACTGTGTCTGAGCCAACCACAGTCACGGTCTCGTCGTGTATCCCCGAGGAACCTACACCTGGTCCAACAGATGGATCTTCCACTGTTCTCCCAACGAGTGTAACTTCTTGGGAAGACGCTGGCGTCAAATTGACTCCTGTGTTCGGCGGCCTTGCTGGATTGTTTGCTTTGCTTATTTGATGATACTTTCTAGCTTGATCCGTTGTGAGTCGTTTGTTTGGAAATTCAATTCTTCTTCTTCTTGTTTTATATTCGCAAAATATATGCCTTTTCTTAATCGTTGTTCTTAGTCAATTCCAAGAGCCCTTGTTTGCTCCTCTAAGCCATCTTCGTACTCGCTGTCATCTTCCGAGTCGGTATCAAGCTCCGAACTGGTCTCAGATTCCTCGTTAGAAACGATCTCGCTTCCCTTCTCTTGCACACCAACAACGCCCCATTTGATTTTGGTGACCTCTTCTAGGCGGTCTAGAATTTCGGTCATGGGTGTGAAAAGACCAAATTGTCTGAATTCACCGTCGTAAGAGTGAAGCATACCAACAACTCCCAAACCATCCTTCTTGGCCAGACCCTTCACGTTCTCAAGCTTGGTCAAAATCCAAGAACCGCTATCGCCGCCAGCAGCAAATGCGGTAGTATTTTCACAGGAGTTCACCACGAACTCCGACGAGTGGATGGCACCATCCAACCAATACACGAGTTTGATTCCATTGAGGAAACCCTTGGTGAATTTTGTTGTAGAGCCATACTTGAATACCAGTAGACCCCTGTGGGTAGTGTTGCCATCTGAGTCCATAGAGTTGGTTGACGCCATTGAATCCACCTCGTTAATGTTTTCAGTGATATCCCTAGCCAGGCGACCAAGCAGAATGATCTTCCTTACATAGAGGTTCTCAAAGATCAACGAGGTGTCATATTCGTTGAAAGCAATGTCATCACCAAGGAAATTTTGGTCACATTTGAGCAACTTATTGACCTTGATAACTGCCAAATCACTGAGTCTCTTCTCCTTCATATGACGACCATCCTTGGTACGCTTTGCTTGTATCAAAGTCCTCTCGCCCCATATTATTTGACCAAAGCGATGTTTGGGGAAGTTACGAACTTCAGATCTTTCTTGCTTGTTCTTGGGGTCATAAACCTTCACTTTTCCAACCGGGAACATTTCGTCAAGTTGCCTCAATACTGAAGTGTAGGCAATCTTCGACTCAAGCATTGACTTGTCCTCATTCTCAACACACTTTTGTTGTTGTTCCTGAAGAGCCTGTTTATAGAGGCCGATTAGAACAGAGGAGGGAGATGACACATGTGGATAGTCTACACTCTCTTCTCGTTTGTCAAGACAGACATGCCCGCATGTCATGGCAAACTTTGATTTGGCATAGGAAGAGAGATGTGGTTGCTTCTCCGTGTCAATCTTGGGGTAAATAAAACCACCTATTGTTCCTGAAACCCGCTTGGCATTCTCTGTGGATACTGAAAGAGACATTGGCGGACTAGTGGAGTCACTTGGAACTCTGAAAGGTAGTTTGAAGCGCGTGGGGTTATGCGGCGTTGTGGGTGGAACATGGACTTCGGGGAAAGGAATATTTGGTGATGGGGAAGCCGTTGACGCTGCCTCAATCTTGTTTTTGTTGACCAAAACGTGAATGTCGTCGTAAAGCTCATGTATCGTGCTAATGACATTATTGTGGTATTCGGAAGGGTTTGGGTAACCAAAATACAAGCACAAGACATTCATATCCTCAGAAGGACCTCGGGCGATCGGGGCAATGAACGAGCCATTCTGCTCTTGAATAGGTGTCGAACTTTCTGCAATCCCTCGCATAATCCGAGTAATGGCCTCCTGGCGTGGTAAAGGTTTACCTTCGTTAGCGCCGATAGCAAAGTTCTTTGGTTTTGCGACCGTGGAAGAGCCAACATTTCTTCTAGTTGTACTCTTCAAGGAAGAAGTGAAGTCATTAAAATTCTTGCATAAGAGGAGTTTAAGCCTGATGTAGGCCTCATCCTTCAAAAGATTATCGTAAAGGTGGAGGTAGGTCTTGAGAACTCTTCTGACATCAGCATTATCGTAGGCGGAAAATGACCAAGTCAGGCTATCATCAAATGATTCAGTAAATGTCACGAAGTCCTTGAGGCAGTCGATGATGTTGACCACGCAGGTAGATAAGGTAAGCAGGGAGTTAAGATACTCTGTCCTGATATAAGACACATCTTGCCATAGAACATGGAGAACCTCAGTTATGGAGTCCTGTGGAGAGCCTCCGCCCTCCTTGTCTTCAGGAATATCAAACACCTGAAGAGCCGGTCCAACTCCTCCAGAAGAAGTCTTCTTCGATTTGGAGGACGCATACGACAGTTGCCTTGTTGAGTATGACTGTCGACTGGAGAAAAGAGATCTTGATATGTCTGACTCTTCTGCTCGGGAAGATGGCGCATATATGCTAGGGTTCGTGTTGAGTTGGATATCATTCGTGGTGCTGGAACTTTCATGCTGGAACATGGGCCGAAGTTCGTGGAGAGAATCGTTTTCCGAACATGTGGATGCGTTTGCAGAGCCAGCTTGGGGCTCGATATTGTCCCGCTGGGGTTCTTTTCTCTGTTTCGGAAGGAACCGTTTCATAGTTGTGGGAGAAAAGACGCAGGGCAGAACAAGAAGGGTAGCGCCTCAAGGGTCACGTGTAGAAGTCAGATAATGGATATCCTATTGAAAGTCTATTTTTCGTGGTACTTGCCAGTTCTGGAGTCTCTTGATCCTTACTGTTTCGTTTTCCTAATGCTTTGGCTCTAAAGGTACCTTTCGCTGACTAGGGAAGGACCGTTTCAAACGGTATTGGCGTGCAGCCTGCCAAGTAACTTGAGGCATATTTTGACAATAGCTATGGAAGTTGGCAAAACTGGACTTGTTCCACCGTCGATATTCATAGATTTGCTAGGTTTGTTCGAAAATCAGCTGGAAAGATGCGTCTGCTCGTATTTTGGTTATGTGATTATGGGGAAGATTTCGCATCCCTCAATGCGCTAAAGTGGTTCCACATTTAGCAGCCTCTAAAAGTAAGCCATCCACCAACATGGGTATCCACAAAACCTTTTCACAAACCGTCACTAGTTAGATTATGATATTTGTCGTCATAAACCTCGAAATACCCTCCTTGCATTAACTACAACCCTTTCAACGAGTATCCTACAAACAAGTCTCGGAGCTTACGGTCTCTATTGCGGTGATGTTTGCAATATTTTTCGCTGATGACTGGAAAGTTTCCAAAGTTTAATTTATTCATATAAAGCAACCTTTGGATGTCCGAGGTCTCGCTTTTGTAGTGGTCTAGGTCTCGGTCTTAAAGCACGATTTAGGTGCACGAGGCACAAGCGAGCAAGAGGAAAAAATCTGGGGAATCGCACCGTTCTGTTTCCCGCCATTTTCACATCCACCTCTTTCTGGGCCATTCTGCAACCATGCCAGTGTACTCGGTTTCACATGTGGAGAATGTCCGCATTTGCGTCATTATGGTAGGCTTGCCCGCCCGAGGAAAGTCCTTGATTGCCCAAAAGATTGTCCGTTATCTCCTGTGGCTCTCCATCAAGAGCAAATGCTTCAATGTTGGTTCATACCGTCGTCTCTTGACGCTGCGTGAAGATACCACTTTCGACTTCTTTGACCCTGAAAACGAGGCTGGTCTCAAGGTCAGGCAAGAAGCGGTCAACCAAGCAGTGAAGGACATGATGAAGTGGTTCGCCGAGGAGAATGGTGTTGTGGGTATCCTCGATGCCACCAACTCAACAAGAAACAGAAGATCCCAGCTTCTTAAGTTGTGCAGAGAAAACTTGATTGAGCCTATCTTCTTGGAGCTGTGGTGTGATGACAAGGATTTGATCTTGCAGAACATCGCCGATGTGAAAACCACGTCTCCCGATTACGTCGACCTCGACTCGGAGTACGCAACAAACGACTTCTTGGGCCGTATTAAGCAGTACGAAAAATACTACGAAACCATGGACCTGGCTGCCGACGCTGACTTGACTTTCATCAAGCTTGTCAATGTCACCTCCCAGATTATCGTCAACAGAATCGAGAGCTACTTGGAGCTGAGAATTGTATACTATGTGATGAACTTGCATATCAAACCCAGAAGTATCTGGCTATCGAGACACGGTGAATCCCAATACAACTTGACGGGCCAGATTGGAGGCGATCTGGATCTTTCTGAACGCGGTTGGAGATACGCCAAGAAGCTTCCTGAACTTGTTCTCAAATCGCTCGGCGAGGAGCACAAGCACACTAATCTTACGGTATGGACCTCCACATTGAAGAGAACACAACAAACGGCCTCTTTTTTGCCGTACCAAAAAAAGCTAGAGTGGAAAGCCTTGGATGAGTTGGATGCTGGTGAGTGTGATGGTATGACTTATGAAGAGATTGAAACAGAATTCCCAGATGATTTCAAAGCCCGTGATGACAACAAATACGAATACCGTTACCGTGGCGGTGAATCCTACAGAGACATTGTGATTCGCTTAGAGCCCATCATTATGGAGTTGGAACGTCAAGAAAACATCTTAATTATTACTCACCAAGCCGTGTTACGTTGTCTTTATGCTTATTTCATGAATGTGCCTCAGGAGGAGAGTCCATGGATGCTGATACCTTTACATACGCTCATCAAGTTGGAGCCCCGTGCATACCTGACGCTTGTGCTGCGAATTAAGGCAGACATCCCCGCTGTGAGCACATACAAGGAGAAGGGAACCTCGCAGTTGGGCGAAGGGTCTGTCAACGAAGGATCTGTGAAGAGCCGTGACTTGATCTCTAACTCAGCTACGTAGGGCAAATGAATGCACACTGGCAAGCGCCAATCTTATCTAATCCTTAATTCCTGGCGAGTTAGACTCCTATACAATACAATTATATACAGCTGATAATTATGCGCTGAAACATTCTTCATCTCTACGAGGCGTTCGCATACTTCTTTGCCTGCTCCTTGACTTTCTTTTCATATGTGGTTCTATCCTTGCTGAAAGCCTTCCATGCTGGTTCCTGAGCTGGAGAGTCAGGATTTGGGTTCGTCAAGAGTTCTTGGATACCCAACAAAATTTGTTTCAAGGTGATAGCAGGTCTCCAATCTTGCGACTCGTTCAAAATAGATAAGCACACAGTGCCACTAGGGTATACATTTGGATGGTAGAATGCGGGTGGAAACATCACCTTCGGTGGTTTCGAAGGGTATTCTTCCGAGAAATATATCGTCACGGGAAATGTGGCGTCTGCCCATAGGGTGTTTGGTTTGCCTGGAATTCCAGCATCCCAGTGGGTCAAGTCTAGGGAGCCATCTGAGGTTTTCTTTGGGCGAGCGTAGAAGCCGAAAGGGTGGTCTCTTCTCCACTGCTTTCTTTCCTCTTGTAATCGGGTCTTGCAAAGAGACATGCTTGTATTATTTGTTTGGGTCTAAAAGATATACAAACGATTGAGGCTCCTAATTTTTTCATAACTCTTGAGGCTGGCCTGCAGAAAGGCTCCAGTGGCATATCAGCAAATCCGTAATGAAGTGATTCAACTTGTTCAATATTGAAATTAGTGGCAGGGACAGATGAAACAACTAACAAGTTTTACTAAGAGCCGTTCAAAGCCTCGGATTCTTTGAAGGCAGAATTTTTAGCCTTTCCATCATGATGCGATCCATGTGTTAGTATGGCTGCGTGAATAAAAGTCTGCAGCTTGCAGCCGTATTTGTCAGTCACACGAAATACTTCAAAGTACTAATACTTCATCATGCATAATTTCGCCACTTTAAAAACCTTCCTTTGCCGTCAAGTACATCTGTTTATTTAAGTGAGAGAAACGGAGAAAGGGGATGAGATTAAGAAAACGAAACATCACACGACGAAAACATTGTATTGTTCGCAGACATCAATGTAGGCACTAGTCTACTGATTCTTATCTCCCTGTGAAATTCCATATATTCAACACAAACAGCTTGAATGGACGGAGTTAAGGGTTGAAAGCTCAGGAATGATGTGCCAGCTGCCTCCGCAAGATAATTTTAACAGATGAGTGAAATAGTTGACGGAGGGTCCAGCAGATCAGATCATGACTCGGTCTAAGCCCTACACACATACGTCTTTCGGGTTTAAATGTTAAAGACCGACAGCCGGGCGTAGCTGTAAAGGGGGAGGAGAAATTATAACGACACAGCTCAGAGCCCACAGGAGATCGATTCGGAAGAGTTGTATCTCCTTCACATTGTCGCCTGTCTCATACCTTTTTTGCACCCAACCTCGGCCCGCAGTACCCCACAAATGTGATATATGCTGGCTCTCAGCTTTCCCATAAAGAAACAAATGATTTCATAAAAGAGGTTCATGATCGCTGATACTTCGCCGAGGAATCATCATCAATTTAATATATACGGACCTTCAGCATCTATTTTTCCCGCTTTAGGTGGTCCACATCCTGCACACAGATACTCTGTCCAGTCGACCCCCACATGCCATGACTATGTGAAGAAATACCACCTATAGTGTCTTTTCTATTACCAGTCATGAGCGTCAACGAGGAAAAGAAAGTTGAAGCTACTACGGAGCCAACGGTCGAACCAAAGACTGAGAAGAAAGTTCAAGATGATGATGAGGATGACTTGGACGACTTGTTGGACGAGTTTGACGAGCAGGTTTTGAGTAAGCCTCCAGGATCAGCACCTCAAGCTGCTGCTGGCGATAGCCAAGCTACCAGTACGACCAAGAAGCCTTCTGAGGGCCCTCAAGAGGATAACTTTCAGTACGATATGGAGCTGCTTATCAAGGATCTCAACATTGAGGACCCTAAAGCCAAAGACGAATTTGAGAACTTGGTCAAGCAGTTTGAGACTACCCACAGAGCCGACGCCAAGAAGGCCATGGACCCTCAAAATTTCGATAGCGTGATGAAGGATACCATGGAGAGATTGAAGAAGTCCGGAGAAAATATTGATGAACAGTTGAAGAACGATCCATCCAGTTCTAACCCCGAGGACATGCTCACACAGCTTTTGGCCGGTTTGGGAGGCGGTGCCGGTGACGGTGATTTCGACATGTCCAAGCTTTTGACTGATATGTTGGAGCAATTGTCTTCGAAGGACGTTCTCTACGAGCCGATCAAGGACCTCAACACCAAATTCCCTGAGTTCTTGAAGGAGCAGAAAGACAAGCTTCCAGAGGATGAACATGCCAGATACACGAAACAATATGAGGTTACCAATGACATCATGGCTCTTTTTGAGAGTCCCGACTTCGACAATGAGAGCACTGAAAAGCGTGAGGAGGTCAACAAACTTCTTGAAAGCTTGCAAGAGCTTGGAAACCCTCCAACTGAATTGGTTGGAGATGCTAAGGACTTCCCTGGTCTCGGTGACTTGGGTGCTCTTGGCGGAGGTCTCGGCGGAGGTGCCGACGGGCTTGACTTTGATTCCAAAGACTTGCCAAAGGACATCGAGAAGGAGTTAGAGGAGGGCTGCAAGCAGCAGTAATTACGCAATGAGATAAAATGATGTACATATAGATAGATTTTGTTGAGTTCTCTAATTACATGGTGAGTCCGCTTCTCTGCGAAAACTCTTTATAATATTCAAGCATATCAGGAGTGATACCCTTCGAAATAGACAGGAGAGCGTGATCAAAATGTCTTTCCTCCACCTTACGGGTTTGCTTGTTTTCCATGATGGCGGCAAGACCGGCTTCTTGACATAATAAAGCAACCTCCGCTCCGGAACAACCGTCTGTGGCCTGTGCTAATCTTTCAAAAAGAGCTTCGGAATTATCAATCTCAAACTTGCCACATTTACGGTTCAAAATATGGAGCCTTGCTTCTTTGTCAGGTGGGGCAACGTAGATGTGTCTATCCAAACGACCAGGACGTAAAAGAGCAGCATCGATTTCAGTCGGTCTGTTGGTGGCTGCAACAATAACGACGCCGTTCAATTCCTCAACACCATCAATTTCGTTGAGCAACGATGTAAGTACGTGCTGGGCTGCCAGAGTCAGTGCCTCTTCTCTTGAAGAAGCTAAGGCATCAATTTCATCAAAGAAGATAATGGATGGAGCAGCCGCACGAGCTTTTCTGAATATTTCCCTGATTGTTCTCTCACTTTCTCCGACGTACTTGTTGAAAATTTCTGGACCCTTGACTGCCAAAAAATTAAGTCCAGACTCAGAAGCTAGTGCTTTTGCCGTCAAAGTCTTCGAGCAACCAGGAGGACCGTAGAGTAAAACACCTTTAGGTGCTGAGATACCCAATGTACGAAATGTCTCACTTGCTTCGAGAGGAAGCTGAACCACTTCGGTCAACTTTTGCTTTAGCTCATGTTGCCCACCAATGTCGTCCCAAGACACCTTGGGCATTTCCAAGAATATCTCCCTCATGGCTGATGGTCTGACATCCACAAAGGCGGCCTCGAGGTCCGCCTTCTCAACCTTGATACTTGAATCGAGATGCTCAATATTAGAAAGATCAAGGGATGCAATGGCACCAACATGAATGGGGGCGGACAGACCCGAAAGTCCACGAGCAATCGTTTTCATGACACCTTCACGGCACAAGGCGGCCAAGTCAGCGCCCACGTAGCCATGTGTTTTTGAGGCAACCTCTTTAATGTCACTTTCCAGAAGGTTACACTTTTCGCTCTTCATACGAGCAAGCTGCTTGGCGAGAATGTCAGCCCTGGCTTCAACATCAGGGATACCAATCTCCACCTCTTGATCAAAACGTCCAGGTCTTCGGAGGGCGGGATCGATCAGGTTGGGTCTATTGGTGGCGCCTACTACCACAACTCGTCCTGAGTCACCCATACCATCCATCATTGTGAGCAAAGTGGCGACAACTCTAGATTCAGTCTCGCCTGCATCATCAGAACCTCTCTTCGGCGCCAATGAGTCAATTTCATCCATTATGATGATCGAAGGCTGGTACTTCACTGCCTCTGCAAATAGATCCCTGATAGCATTCTCAGTTTCTCCTAGGTATTTGGACACTACAGAAGGCCCGTTTATCATAAGGACATGAGCACCTGATTCATGTGCCATGCAACGCAATAGCAAAGTCTTTCCCGTACCTGGCGGACCGTGTAGAAGAATACCCCTTGGAGGTGATATACCGAAATCCGAAAATAACGTTGGATGATGAAGGGGCAAATTGACAGTTGATCGAAGAAGTGAAATGGGCTTCTTCAAACCGCCCACATGATCAAGTGAGGTGGGACGAGGAATTCTTGGGTAAATGGAGTAGTCAATCGCTTGTGTTGTAGACGAAATGCTTGATGACGAGTGAAAAAGGAAGACGGGGGAAACCAATGCCATGTCTGCAGATGATTCCAAGCTCATATTTGATAGCTTTGTCGTCACATCATCAATGGATGTATCAGCGTCAGAAATGTGTGTTATGGTGACAGTGACGCCCTTGACCTCCAAGGTGAGGCCTGCTTGCAAAACACCAATCTCACCGAATGTCTTTTTGACAGCATTATTTAAATCCTCCCAGTTTTGGTTTTCGGGAATTTGGACCACCACTTGCTTGGCATATAGTGGCTGACTGGATCTTTTCGTAATTTGTAGCCTATCGCCTAGTAATATCCCGCCAAGGTCCCTGAGCCTTTTAGGAATCCTCAACACATTTGATTCTTCGACTTCCTCTAACTCTAGAATAGCCACAACTCCGGGGCCACTTTCTTTAGAAATTGTAACAAAGGAGCCTTTGTTGAGCTCCATGGCTTCGGCAATTTGAGGTTGCAAATAGACAGATGTCTGCTTGGTCAGAGTAGGTCTGGCGATAAACAGTTTCGGGATTTTGATCTTTTTGGGTTGTGCAGCAGCATCTGTCTGACTCTTCAGGTCAGCACCAGCCGACTTCTTTTTCGTTTTGGATGACATGATTAACTCAGTGCTCGATGTAACTTGTGATGAGATATCGCGATGGACTCCACATGCATATCGAGAAACAGTCTTCGCATATTGAAGTAAAGGTCTCTCCAACATGAACTATCGTCGAGCACATACACTACTAAAACATGTCCGACTAAATCACTGGACAGCTGTGCTGAGCAGAGACATCTTTTTGAAAGATCAAAGTCTAGGGAAACCTGCAAGAGAGACAATCAAAGATCACAACTTTCAGTTCTATCCAACATCCAGCACAGAGTTCAGTTCGACCTATTTGGATGGGACTGACTCTAAGCGAAACGCTGACCTAAGGGAACACTTCGACCTAAATCCCCAGCTCAAAAAGCTGCTTGAAAGCCGAGCTCACCTCGTGCAACGGTTCCTCGGAGACAGCTTCAAACTACCCTTCGATGACTTGCTTCCCATAATATGCGGACTTGCAAATATGAAGATCGAACATCGCTCAAGCCCGACAGGCTCGGCCTTTGAGAAAGGTTTCGTTCATCAAAGTGTTCTTCGTGAGGTAGGCAAACGCCTTTTCGAATGCAGCTTGAACAGTGCAACGATATTCACAGGTCTATCCTACCTATCCATGTCTCAGTCTGAACTAGAGCACAACCTAGCATATTTCAAAGATTATGATCGCTTGATCATAGAGTTTATGAGGCGTCAGCTTTTATATGATTGCTCGATCCCATACAGAGGTATTCAAGATTATGGATTGCTTCTGACTACTGACGCCGAACTACTACGAGTAAAGATCAAGGATAAAACTGCTATTGGAAGCTTCTTCTCTTTACTTGGGGTGCTTGTGCTTCGATTCGGCACAACCCGTGTAAATACCGAGTTCATTCATGACAAAGTATTGAGCGGTTCTAATGGCATATATAGCATTGCAAGCTCAAAACGAAATGAGTGAACTGTTTATAGATATAATGACGCACAGAAAACGATATCTCTCTTGATCTTCTCTTGAGCCTCATTCATCTTCGAATGCAACGTAGAGTCACCAACAATTAAAGCAGCATTCTTGACCTGGCGACAAATTTCATCCAATCTTGTAATCACACGAACAATTGTACCCTCAGACTCGACAGAGATTTGCATAATTTCACTAAATGTCAAACCTCTTGCCCATTCATACACCACATTAACCAAGGCAAACCTCTTGCGCTCGAGGAACTCTTCCTCCTCAGACGTAAGGGATACTTGGTGCTCGTTGTAGACTTTGAGGAGCTTTTCCGTAATTTTGAGGATCTGTGCCTTTCCTTTCTCTAATCTGGGTGTCATTGGAGGTTCCTCCTCTTCGTTAGTCCGTCCTTCATAGACGAAACATGAAAGGAGAGCAACAATTTCTTCAGGTTGGAAATCACCCAAGAAGTTGTCGAGAATAAGTTCTGTAAGAACTAACTCCCAACCCGAATTAATCTCACAAGCCACACGGCCTTTAAGCACAACTCGCTGCTGATCATCAATGAAGCCAAGAGTTTGAAGTACCTTCAATCTCTGTTCATAATCAGGAAGCAATTCCAAGTTCTCGTCCGAAATCAAAAGATTCAACGACTCTATCTTGCGCTCAATTGTATCCTGTTGAGCCAATTGTGAGTAGATCCTCTTGAAGTCAGGCTTGTTATAGATGTCCATATCCCTCAACTGTGAAACAAGATCGTTCTTTTTGTTGACAAGTTCATGCAATGATAGTTGAACAGCTTTCTGATACTCTAGCTCGTACCAGAAAAGCTGCAGATGCAAAATTCGCTCTATAATGTCTTCGGCTTCCTTCACGGTATCCTCTTTGTTACTAAGAAGCTTTCTGATATTCGTTCTCAAAGCAAAGGAGCTGACAAATTGAACATTAGAGAAGGGAACACTCGTCGTTCTGAGACCCCCACTATAGCGAATCTCCGGCCTTGTATTTTTGAGGTATTGCGGCACTGGAAGGAATGGAAGCGATTGTTCTTGTTCTTCAAAACTTCGACCATGATCGAAAGTGAGGAAAATCATCATATTTGAGTTCAAGTCACACTTAACAAGGAAACCTGTCCTTGAAAGACCCTTTTCATCCACGAAGCACATAAGTTTTCCGACATGCAAAAGAGCAGTTCTTGTCAACGTCAGATTGGCAACCTCCGCAACAATTTGTCCATAGACTTCTTGATACTGTGAGATGATTGAATATGCATGTTTGTATTTCTCAATCTCGGAATTGGTTTCGACCCGAGTTGAGTTGAGCTCCTCCTTAAGTTGTTCAACTTTCTTCTGGTGCTCTGGGAGTAGTGTCTGCGTTGAGTTCTCACTGAAAGAGTGCTTGATCATTTCTTCCACCCTTAAAGCCTCAATACGCAAAAGGTTTAAAATCATGTTATACGTCAATCGGAATTGGGACAGAAGCTTGGTTGGAGTACCCATGGTCGTCTCCTTGAAATCGGTCGGGGACAATGGCTGGTTGTAAGACATGACAATCACAGTACCCGTGGAGTCAAGACCTCTTCTTCCAGCTCTACCAGCCATTTGTGTGAACTCACCTGGTAACAAATTTCTGAAGCCTCTTCCGTCATGCTTCCTCAATTCAGAAAAGACAACTGTTCTCGTTGGTAAATTCAATCCCATTGCAAAGGTCTCAGTTGCGAAAAGGACTTTAACCAAAGACTTGGCAAAAAGGATCTCGATGCATTCTTTGACAATTGGAAGAAGACCACCGTGATGGACTGCTATACCTCTGCTGAGCATGTCTCTCACAGCCAAGATTTGGGGCAACTCGCGATCCTCTCTTTTCAAACGAGAAACAGCCCTGTCAATAAACATATGAATTTCGGATCTTTCCTTCGCATTGCAAAATTGAACACCACTCATGGTATTTGCGTATTCTTCACACCGCTTTTTGGAGAACACGAAAATAACAGCAGGAAGCAATTTGTTCAGATTCAAATACTGCACCAACTCAGTCCATGTGCTTTTATTGGGGCCATCTCTTGCAAATCGTGCGCCAGAGTTGGCTCCACCTCTTCCTCTTCCACTAGGAGCACCACCCCTTCCTCCCCTTCCGGCAGGAGCACCTCTACCAGCCTGTCCTCCACCTCTGTTTCCACCTCTAGCGGTTCCGCCAGGCCCCTTTCTCAGACCGTAACTCACTGTCACATTAGGGGGTTGGTCTTTTTGTGGAGGAGCCATAATATCCTTATACTTTCTGAATTCTGATTCGAGGAAAACACCCTGAGCATTGATAGCTTTGTGAAGGTTTTTCTTACCCCATATAAAGATCTCCAATGGCACGGGTCTCTTGGGTGTGGAAATGACATACATATCCTTTTGCTTAGTTCTGCCCACCCAATTGGCGAACTCGAACGTATTCGGGACCGTGGCTGATAGGAGAATGTATTTCACATGATCTGGGAGCATAATGATCACCTCCTCCCAAACGACACCACGATCAATGTCATTCACATAGTGGACTTCATCAAAGATCACGAATTCAACATCACGAATCAAATCTGCACCACGATACAACATGGATCTCAAAATTTCAGTCGTCATGATGAGACAGTTGGCCTCTGGGTTGATTTGCACATCACCTGTGATCAAGCCGATCTCCATGTCTTTGAAAGTTTCTTTAAAATCCCTGAACTTTTGATTTGACAATGCTTTGATTGGAGAGGTATAAATCGTTTTCGTCATGTTTCGGGCTGCCATTGCGATTGCATATTCTGCCACAACAGTCTTACCTGCTGAGGTGTGGGCGGCAACAAAGACCGAGTCACCTTGTTCTAGATGATACACAGCTTCTTTCTGGAAAGTATCAAGCTCGAAGGGCCATTCACGAGCCATGTTAGGCACTACCTCCTGGAAGTTCTCTATTTTGTGGTCAAGGTCAACGACATGCGCCCAATTCTTCTTGACTCTTTGTTCGGACTCCATCTTTGCTTTGATTTTCATATAGTCTAACGGGATCAAATCATCAATTTCTGAAATACCGACATCGTCTTTTGATTCGTCGTCCTTCAACTTGCCCATGAGATCGGACTCAGTAGGCTCGCCGTTATTTTCATTTACCTCCTCTTCATCGTCCCCAACTTCCAATTGGTCAACTCCCTCAGATGATTCAGCGACACCAGATACATTAAGCCCACGAGAGAAACCTGGTGGTACGTCGAATAATCCAAGACTATTCTTATGCAAAAACAGAAATTCGGACATATTCTGTTGGGTATTTAGGGTTTGATTGGTCAGGGTGCTGCTGAACAAGCCACCTGGCTGGAACGGAAGGTAGTTTGATTTACCACTGGTTGCGTCCTGCTTCAGCCCGTACTTTCTCTTGATGGAAAGTGAGTTTGCGGAGGTAGCATTATCGAGCTCAGAGATCCTGATCTCCTCCTTGTAACCAACTATCTCACCCTTGAGGCCACTTCTTTTGAAACGGAATGAGCTTCGGCTAACAGGTTCTGGCTGAACCAACAAAGATTCGAAGATTCTCTGTTTATCAACCGATGGCTTAGATTGAATAATATCTTGTACGTCCCATGTCAAGTGATTGGATGGCTCTAAGAGCTGTGCCGCAAGAACATCTTTGGATGACTTTTCATTTTTAGGCGTCTCTAGAATCTCTTTGGGGTCAAGAATTGAACTGGTCGCCATCTCAATGCTTGTTCTTGAAGCCGTGATAATAGGTCTGTTGCGTAGGCGATGTTGAAATACTGTGCACAGTGCAACTGGAACACGTGAGCTTTGAAGGCAACACTTTCTATATGCTAGTTGAAAAAGCTAAATCAATGACTCAGGATTGATGAAGAATTTAATTACTTTACGAAATTTTACGGAGGTCATATTTCTCGATGTTTCACTGTTTCGAGACATCGAGCACCGCGGTTTCAATACCCAAAAAACATGCATCCTTCCACACTGTGATTACTCAATGATATCAAACTACAATTCACTTGTGAAGAACATTGCTGTGGTATCAGCAAAACATCTTTATCTAATATGTATAGCGCTGAACCAAGTTTATCGGGTGGCAAAAAAGTCGCGAGTCGATTGACACCTAAAGCTTGGGTTTCGAGGCATCAATGCCGCCGGCAGTGGCACCTGCATTGGTCTCCAACTTTCCATCATTATTCTCATCCAGGTCCTTGCCGAAAAATACAACCGTTACTGTCAAATCATCTCTATAACGACGAGAAACAGGACTTGGAATCGAAATGAGCATAGATAACTGCTCTTTAGAGCCACCATTTGAAAGGGCATTTCTAATTAAGTGGGTTGAGACATTCTTGTCCTCTAGAAGAAAACCGTTTCCGGTGTTGAGTCTGTTTCTGCGGAAGGGAGGCTTGGAAGTTTTGTCGTTGGTGATGTCAGAAACCTGGGGCAAGCCCTTCTCTGAAGAACCAAAATAATTCCAGAACGACTTGTTTGGCTTGACTAGCTTCTCTTTCTCCATCCACTTCACAACGAGACCAACAATCTCTTCATTAGAAAGCATCTCATAAAGACCGTCACTTGCCATGACAAGGAAATCGTTGTTTTCGGGACTGACCTTCGTCGTAGTAACGACTGGTTCGGCAGTAACATATGGTGGAGAGTTCAAATTGCTAGGAAGCTTCTTCCCGAAAAACTGCTTATAAAGTCTGTCTTGAATAGACCCTGGCAATTTGTATCTGCAATCACCGAAAGCTCTGCTTGGTTCGAGAGAGCCAAGAACACGGCCATTTCTAACAACATTAGGCTCATCTGGATGCTCTGAAATGATTCTGGCAACTTCAGTAGGGTTGGAGCCGGTTTGGTCAATACTCAATTGACGAACTGTCCACTGGTTGTTCTTGAATGAGCCCAAGAGCGCTCTAGAGTCACCAGTAACAGCAACCTTCAACATCTTTGAATTGGTGTCATAGAAAGAGAGAAGAGCACAGGAGCCAGATAAGGCCGGCATCAACAATTCAGCGGCTTTCGCTTTATTGTTGTCATTGAGAAGCTTCTCAATATTCTTGTTCACGATTTCGTGATCCAACTTCAAGAAGCCGTTCTTAATTGCTTGATCGATGGTGGCCAGGTTGGGCACATAGCGCAAATTCTCCTCCTTCGATGGCTTGAAGATGGTGCCCAACTCAGTGATGACGTACAGAATCAACTGATCACGCAACTTAGAAGAGGTGGTCCAGCCGCCATGACCATCATAGACACCGAAAAACATCCAGTCTGTGGAGGTTCTCACATTGTTGTCTTGCAAGATTGGGACTTGGACAATTTCCTCGGCCCTGTCATCCTCAATGGGGGAGTTGGAAGGAAGCTGGCAAATGTCGTACCTAGTCACTCCCTTTCCACGATGCACATTATATGATTCCTCGAATTGCCTGAGTTTAGCACTGACCTGCTCGTCATTGAGAAGGAAGACTCCCTCCTTGTGCTGTTGAGCACCCACACTATTCTGGCGCACCATCGAGGATGTGGTGGAGGAGAAAGCCTCCTTGTCAACGATGCTAGTCACAGCCTTAGCTGGATTTCCCGTGAGTCTCGAGTTGGACCCAGGTGGAGCTGTATCCAATTTGTAGTAGTTTGATTGGTTGAATGTGACATAGGAGCCAACGATGATAACACCCGAGACTAGAGCCACATTGCGCCTACGCAACAATCTGCTCTGAGACTTTCTAGCGGCAGAAGAAGCCAGGGTATTCAACAAACGTCTTCCATTTTGCAACTGACGACCTGCAACATAAAATAGCCTCGGCTTGGGGGCTAGGACATACATGGGTTATGGTAAAAGCGGGGACAAAGGGGTTTGCGGGATGTGTTCCGTATTGGCCCGAAAAATCAACAATATATTAGTAGCCTGGGAAAAGTGGCTGACAGGAAGTGATGATGCAGAAAAGTTTGCTGATCAAAATGAATCAAATGTAGAAAGTTGAAGAGCCACAAACAAGTAGGAAACAGTGTCCACTCACTTGTGTGTGCCGGAGAGAGAGCAGAGTGCATACATGCAGATAGGACAGATAAGGGATTGATGGAGCCAATCTAGCAGCAGTCAAAAAAATCTTCAAAAATTTGACTCGACCTATGTATCATGAATTTCAATTCCATTCAGTAATTGAATTTGAATGCCTTTTTTGCCGGTTTATCTGCGGGAAGGTGTTACCAGGTACCATCACATCAACGCAGTTGCATATCCGAAGTCAAGACGGTTCAAGAGTTTTTTTTAATAATTTTTCTCTAATCCTTTCAACACTTCAATTTTCAGCAATTTTTCAGCTCGGTCGAATGTTTTGTTTACTACTCAAGTTTGTAACCTATTACTTCCCGAAAAGGTAAGCCTTTAACTTTTGTGCAATAGGCCTTCAGTATTGAGAGATATCGAGGCCTAGGGACCAATTAAAAACAAGCACGACACGCTTCCTCGCCTTAAGTAGACATTGTGGTAGCTTTGTGGCTCAGAAGTATCTTTTGTGTTAATTGAAGCTGACCATGCCTTGGATACCCTGTCAATTTGCCCGAAAAGAGATGTGAAAAGAGGCTATGAAGAATACGATTCAACTGCAATTCTTAATTCTACAGAGCTATATAGATTCATCATGCTTTACCGCAACCCACAGATACATCTTGTTTTGTCTGTCTTAGAGAAAAAGCACTTTTTGCAGCCAAACTAATGGTGATCGAAAGACAACTTCAGTGTTGTCTAAGAGACAAGAGGAATAATTCCAGTTTCAAAGAGAGTACTGATTAGCACTGAAACTACGAATTAAGAGTTGATGGTATAGCACCATACTACACAGTTCATTGAGTAAAAAATTTTATTAAACAACTGCACTAACTCGACCCACCACCGATTGCCGTACCAAATCCTGATAGCAACACCACAACGTCAGTGTAACTCTCGTTACACGGCACGCCTAGAGCACTTGGACACAGCGTCACTTACAATACATGAAACACCACTCGATGGTGCGTGAAGTCAACAGCACAGTTGCGAGATGTACCCCGTTTATGAAGACACCAAAACTGCTTAAGCAGCAATGGTGACCTCGACATCCACACCAGGCTCAATAGTGATCTGAGTGATCTTCTTGACAATCTGGGCTGGAGCCTGCAAGTCAATGACTCTCTTGTGGATTCTCATCTCGTAAGCATCCCAAGTCTTGGAACCCTCACCGTTAGGAGCCTTTCTGGTGGTGATCTTCAACACCTTGGTTGGCAATCTAACAGGACCCTTCTTGACAATCTCGTTCTGGGCAGCGTTAGAAACGATGTTGGAGCAAACCTTCTCCAACTGCTTGACCTTGGTGGAAGTCAAAGTGATTCTGATCTTGTGGATCTCCTCAGCTTGTTCCTGGACCTTCTCCTTGTTGATTGGGGCAGACATTATTAATAGACGTTGTTAGAGAAGGGAAAACTTTTTGGTGAGGTCTGAAAAAATTGTAGGTCCCGCAGCGCGAGTCACGTGCACGTTGTATCAGGCGTTGAGATCAACGCGATGACGATAAGGTTTTTTAGGGCTCGAGCCCTACACACTCGTCAGGAACAACTGATGAAAGCCTTGCTTTGTTTGGATAAAATTCAAGTCATGGGTGGAACCAGCTGATGAGCCTGGGATAGCTGGTATTCATGCGGGCTTGCAAACAGGGGAGAGAGGTCAAAGAGCAACAAAGTATCTAAAAAGTAGAACCTTGCAATTTAGAGCATTTGAAGTGGAAAAAAAGGTATCAGAAAAAAGGAGATGAAGATGACCACCTTATCGAGCTTTTATTTTGATGGTAATAAATTTCACCCGGATGGCATGAACGTTACCATCTGGGAAGATCTTATTCACCGTGTCGTTTCATCAGCTATGATTGCTGCTTGAGTCTCATAGAATGACCGTCAGAAATCAATTATATGGTTTTCTCCAGTATGATTTTTGGATTGTCAGAGAGATTCCCAATTGAAAGGTTCATCATCGGTCAAAAGAAGTAAAAGAAGATAGATAGGAATTCCCTGCATCTTTATATAGCAGCGTGTGCGGGTAACGCTATTCAGTTTGTATTACTTAGTCTCTGATGCATTCCTTTTAACTTACTATTTATTCATCGATCTCAGTTTCCTTGCTTTGTATCAATTCTTTTTCGAGGGCACGCATTGACCGCCATAATACTGCGCTTTCCTCTTCATCAGTCATTCCACTCGTAGCCCACCTTATCTTTCCCGTTTCGTCTAATATGTACAAGTATCCCGAACAGGCGTTATCACATTTGAGAGTTCTCTTGACGTCTCCCGTGAAAAGTTTGTGGGAAAGGACGAAGTACAGATCATGTCTGGCTGGAGGGATCATATTCCTGATGTTGTTCTTGGCCAATGAAACAAAGAGGCCCTTGATCCAAGATTGAGGTATATTGATATCAACAATTTGAGAATGACGATACTTTTCTTTGAATTGTTCATAGCCCGGGCCACTAAGGTAGTCTTGGACATAACTGTTGGTGCAATTCTCACCCGAGATAGCAGACGACATTCGAAGAATTGTCACCTTATTCTTCAAAACATCATAAAGTTGCCTCTTGTTCTTCAGCAAAGTGTATCCTTCAAAATTTGGGAAGTAAAGAGACTTGCTTTGTTTGAAGAAAGAAATCGGAGGCAGGAAGATCTTGCCATGCGTATTAGCGAATGACTTCGAGTCGTAGAATGGAGAGTGCTGCAAATCATAATCAATTTCTTTCTGTCTTCTTTCTCTGCTCTCTTTCGAGAAAGTCTCTGATATTGAGTGCTCGTTGAGCTTATTCAAGAATATGGGCTCTTCATAGCCAAATGGTTTCGTGATCGGTTGAGGCTTTTGAAGAGCAGGCTTTGCTGCCTCCTCCACTGTTTTTGCAAATCGAGGCTGCAGAAACTTAGGCCTTTGGAGCTGCCTAGCAGACACACTAAACGCTCTTATGGACCTCATATCTGTAACACTACTCCACTGTCTATCGTGCTCGATATGCCATATACCTCTGGTGCACGGATCTCTCCACAACTTCGTCAAAGCAATAATTCGAAAGAAGCATTGTGAGAATCTTTTGCATATCAAAAAATAGTTAGTTTCAATTCTTTCAGAAATCCGAATTTTGTATCGTCACCTATACTGGAGCAAAAGCTAGGTCTTAGCCAGCATCCAACTTGAATGATCTTATGTACACAACTTTCAGTCAGAGAAAAACCGAGTATTGAACGGGCTCACTATCACCACCACCAAGCTACAAACTATGAGCATACAACTTCAAGACGGTCTATCAGGGCAGCCTGTGGACAGAGTGCTTGAGGACCTCTTAGTAAGGTTTCTCGTCAATGCACCAGATGAAGATTTATCCTCGATCGAACGTATCTTCTTTCAAGTCGAGGAGGCCCAGTGGTTTTACTTGGACTTTGTCAGGCAACTCAATCCACTTTTGCCCGCAATGAAAATGAAGTCATTTGCACCAGCCCTTTTATCCAAATGTCCTCTTCTTTGGCGATGGGGTGATCCAAGAGATGCTATCTCCAAGTTCGGAAAGTATAAATCGACAATCCCTGTGAGAGGAATTGCGTTGATGAACAAGGAATTGAACAAGATTGTCTTGGTTCAAGGCATGGAATCAGGCTCCTGGTCTTTCCCACGTGGAAAAATCTCAAAAGGAGAAAGTGACTTAGAATGTGCAATCCGAGAAGTGAGGGAGGAGACGGGTTTCGATGCAAAAGCCTACGTCAATGAGAAGGACTTCGTTGAGCGAACTGTCTTTGGTAAGAACATGAAGATCTTTTTAGCTCGCGGTGTACCTGAGGATACTGAATTTGCTGCATTATCTAGATTCGAGATCTCACTGATCAAATGGTTCGACTTGAAGAAATTGCAAAAGTCCTTGAAGAACAATCCCCAAAAATTTTTTGCTGTGGACCCTATTATTAAGGCTTTGATAACCTGGGTTAACAAAAACAAGGGATTGGTTAACGAGGAACAGCTATTGAGAGAAGCTGAGGCGAAGTTGAAGGCTATAATGGGTATCGGTGTCAGCAAGGAGAATGATCAAGCAGGCAGAGAATTGCTTGATATTTTGCAGGGTGCATCTCAGCCCGAATCCCAAGCACCACAGCTGGCGCCACAGGAAATCCGACTTCCACAACAGCCGCAGATTCCTAACTTCAATCACCAAGTGCCCCTAGGGTACCCTCCTAACGGATTTGTTCCCCAGCAGCCTCTCCCACAAGCATACTATCCAATGCTTCCGCCTGCACATCTCCTTCCTCCTAGACAACAGCCTTTTATGCCCCCTGCTCATCTTTTACGACCACTTCAGGAGCCTCAAAGCTTACTGCCTCAAGTTCAGCTGCCACACCCTCAAGTTCCAAGCCAACCTCAGCAACCTCTTGCTGAAGTTGCACAGAGTCGCCAGCATCCTCAACTGCAGACACCTCAAGATCAACTCAAGTCCAAGGAGACAGTTTCGGAACCTCCACACGAACTTCCAAAAGATGTTCAGCACCTTCTGCAGTATCAAACACAACCTTTGGAGCCTTCAGCGCAGAGTCTTTCGTTGCCAAAAAGAATTTCGACGTCAAAAAATTCGAAGGAATTTTTATCACTTTTGCAACAGGCTCCCAAGGGATCACTGCATGATCAGCTTTCAGAAGCCTCTGCGGAAGCAAAACAACGCAATAGGTCCAGAGCGGATGAGCTTCTCAAACTCTTTCAGAAGCAGGAGCCAAGCAGAAGCCCACTGGACAGTGGAGTCAAATCACCAGAGTCTACAACTACTGCGGAAGTGCCAC